TTACTAGCTACCTGTGGCACTGACTGCGCCCATTTGGGCGTGGCCACAGGTGCCTTTGGGGCCTGTGGGATATAGGCCTGAGGACAGAGGCGAGCAGGATGCTCAGAGCGCTGACCCTGGGTTATCAGTTTCTCATGTAAGTGATTTCTCCCGATAAAAATAGCCTATGACATCCCTATCCTGTGTATGGTAAACTTCATCTTATGGTATTCTAAGTATAGTGAGTAGATCTCCGTCTCAGTTTTTACTTCCTAGAATGGAAATTGACTTGATTTGATAGGATGCTCTTTGCTGTAGTTCAGTGACTCTCAGAAAGGTGTTCTCGGAACCCTGTACCGTAGGGTCAACGACACACCATTTTCCAACCATTTTCTTTATATATTTCAATTAAGACAACATACCACAGCAATTCAAGTGTAGAAGCAGACAGAATGTGTTTCTTATTAAACCACATATAAAAAGAGTTTTCAAAACTATGAAACAATACTGCTCCCCATGTTGTCTTTATTTTGGAAATAGTTACTTTCATGGTATTTTATGGTGATAATGATGTTTGTAAGGGTCTGGAGAGATGGCTCTGGCTGCTCTCCCAGAGGTCCTGAGTTCTACTCACATCAAGCATACATGATGACTTACAACCATTTATGATGAATTTTAGTGCCTTCTTCTGGTGTGTAGGGATACATGCCCAAACACTGTAAACATAATAAATTTTTTTTAATTTGTAATTTTGCTTAAGTGAACTAGTAAATTTATAGTTGATCATCATATCTGTAGACAAATTTATACAAGTAAAACACATTTCTGAATTTACATGTTTATTAGTTCTTTAAAGATTTATTTAATTTCATGTATATGAGCCTTTTGCCTATATGTTTGCCTGTGCACCATGTACGTGCCTGGTGTCTGCAGAAACCAGAAGCGGGTGTTGGATTCTCTGGAGATGGAGTTAACAGATGGTTCAAGGCAGCTGTGTGGGTGCTGGGAACTGAACCCGGGTCCTCTGCAGGGCAGACAGTGATTTTAACTGCATATAACTTCTAAAAACATTATTACACTTTGAAAACCATTGTGTGTGGGTGTAGGTCTGGACAACCTTCTGGGGTCGACGCTCTTTCCCCTTATGTGGGTACCAGGCTAGAGCTTACGTGCCTTTCCCACGAGCCCTCAGGGGCCTCCACTCTAGCTAGTTTCCTCACTTCTGGGTTCTGTCATATTCAGCAGCTTTAAAGGTTACAAAATAGAATGGGAGATGCTTAGTACACAGCACACGTGTCACGTGGCGTGTTCCCGTTACTTGGACACAGCACACATGTGCGTGGCCTGTTCCCATCACTTGGTACACAGCACACGTTGTTTCCATCCTTCTCCTTAACTTAGCACAGAAGCTCTCAGTCTTTCCTAACGTGTTTGCTTGCTTGCTTGCTTGGTTTTAAATCCTTCTATTTGTGCTGGGTGTGATGGCACAGAACTCAGGAGGCAGAGGCAGGTGGATCTCCATGAGTTCAAGACCAGGGCTCTGAGTTCCAGCACAGCCAGGGCAGTGTAGAGAGACCCTGTCTTCTTGTCTTCTCTTTTTAAGGACCTTTCCATTGTGCATTTTATGGCATCATCAAATGAGACTTAGCAGCTGTTCTGCGTGGTGAATTAGCCCTTCCCCCAGCAGGGACGCGATTGGATAGGAGGGTGTGCTGCACGCGTCGTGGTGTGGTGTGGACTTGGATAAGACGGAAAGCGTGTGTGATGTAGAGGCATCTGGAGTGTGTGCTGTGCTGGAATAGCTGTTGCACAAGCGTGTGAGGCAGACTGCATTGTGTAAGACAGGCTGACCCTGTCGGAACCTGAGACAAGCTGCCCAGAGAGGGAGGGGGGAGGAAGGGATGGATGGAGGGAGGGAGGGAGGGAGGGAGAGAGAGAGAGAGAGAGAGGGAGGGAGGGAGGGAGGGAGGGAAGGAGAGAGAGAGAGAGGCAGAGAGAGAGAGAGAGGGAGGGAGGGAAGGAGAGAGAGAGAGGCAGAGAGAGAGAGAGAGGGAGGGAGGGAGAGAGAGAGAGAGAGAGAGAGAGAGAGAGAGAGAGAGAGAGAGAGAGAGAGAGAGGGAGGGAGAGAGAGGGCTGTGTGAGAGCCTGGACACAGACTGACTCTAGAGGCAGACAGGCCAGAAGAACCATGGCCGGCGTTACTGTGGAACGTCTCGCCGCCATCAGCAAGAATGTATACTAAAACTTGTTCTATCGCTAATTCGCACCAGTCAGATGTCTTACAGAAGGCAGTGGCAGGGTCTGTGCTTTCCTCGAACCTTGGCACCCATTGGAAAGGAGTTGATAATTTGAAAACAGCTGCCAGGGTTGCGAAGGAGAGTGAACTGTTAAAGTGGACCCTGTCCATTTATAGGGCGCAGAGGAACACACCGTGAGTATTTCTGGTTAGCATGGCTGTGTTGAACTAGGAGGACGCTGCTCTGCAAAAGGAGACAGAGTCCTCCTCGTGGCTATTGGTGGTCACGTCCAGACGCAGAGAGGAAGGTGGTGGAGCAAGCCGGACTGTCACAACTCCCTCGCTACTGAGATGTGGATATGGTCCCAAAGTGTGTGTGGTCAATGCATGACACTGGGGACCGCTGGGGATTTAGAACAGGGCCCCAAAAGTCTGCCTTAAGAATACTGGAAGTTGGTGGCTCAGCCAGCGAGCATTTGCTGCACAAGACTGAAGGCCTGAGTTTGGACCCCTGACACCCTCAAAAAAGGTGAGCGGTGCACACGACACCCGCAGTCCCAGCAGAGGAGCGGGCGGGTCCCTGGAGGGCACCGGCTGGCCAGCCCTGCGGAGTGAGCTCAAGATTCAATAGGAGAGTGTCTCTACTCCAGACACAGACATCGTGTATGTGTGTCCACAGGTGTGTGCACACGCACTCACGTTTACGTGTGCCTGCCCCAACCCCTACCAAGGGACTAGAAACGGAATCAAAGAAGATTCTTCAGACTCGTCAGTTTCTGTGTGAATGCTGTAAAGATTTGCAGGATGGGGTTTGTTTTAATCATGGTTGCAAGGTGACTCCAGAAAGCAACTGCTCCCCAGTAACCTAGACAGGGAACACAGAGTGTGCCAGGGTTGGAAGTCAGAGCAGTGCAGACCATCAATGCAGACTGCAGGTCTCTGGGCCTCTCTCTGAGTATACTGCCTTCCAGTCCTGCCGGAGCTGGGCTGGAGCCTTATGGAACCTTCAGACAAAAAGTTACAAACATGGCTCCAAGGCATTGGTTAGGAGGAGGAGGATGGGGACAGTGCCTGGTCCATTCACCTTTCATTCCTTAGCATCTCCTAGAACAAGCCCGGCATGGAGTGGATGCTTAACAAACACCAGTGTGATGAATGGGACCCTAAGTTTCCATGCTACCATTGAATAGTGGTTATCGTGTTATGGGTATGATGGCCATGCCTATAATCTCAGCATTCGGGGGGTAGCCTGGAGGTGACCAAAAGTTCCAGGCCAGCCTTAGCTACATGGAGAGACCTGGTCTCAAACACAAAACAAACTCCTCACAAATCAGGGAAGACTACAGACATCTCACTAAAGAAGAGACGCCCATGGAATGGGAGCATATGGAAAACGTATCACACATTCTCAGAGAAATGCAAATTAAGACGAGAGAGCTTTCAGTACTACAGTAAGCACAACCCAGAACACTGGCCGCAGGGGCAGGAGAACAAGCCACACCTTCTACATTGCCGATGGGCAGGCAACAGCTTGCACCACTTTGAAAGTCAGTTTGCGGTTTGACTACGCTAAACATTCTTACTATGCCGTCCAGCAATCAGACTCGGTATTTATTCTGAGGGATTTGAAAAACTTTGTCCATGTAAAGCCTGTGCATGGATGTTTAATAGTAGTTTCATTTACAATTGCCCAAACAGACATAACCAAAATATGTTTCAATATTAGGTGAATGGACAAATATCTAATGAGCTATTATTGTTCAGTGGGATTAAAGGTGTACCCCACCAGCAAACTGAGAGAGCAGTTTTAAAGGCTATGTCACAATCAAAGTGTGTTCATTCGTTTAGAGTCGAGTTACAGGAAGCCAAAGGATGGATTTAGAGGAGGTGTGGCCAAGAAACCTCAACACGACTGGTGTTTAGAACCTAATCTACTGAGGACGTACACAGTACACTCTTTTTTTTTCTGGTTTTTTTTAGACAGGGTTTCTCTGTATTGTTTTGGAGGCTGTCCTGGAACTCGCTCTGTAAATCAGGCTGGCCTCGAACTCACAGAGATCTGCCTGCCTCCCAAGTGCTGGGATTAAAGGCGTGTGTCACCAACGCCCGGCCACAGTACACTATTGTCAAGTGCTTTTGGAGGCTGATGGAGCTCCTCCAGCTATACACTAGCTCTTGGGCCTTCTAAAAGGCCCTTGTATTTTCTGTACCACAAACCTTAAAGGAGCTGAAGATTATCACAACTCATTACTTATTTGAACTTCTTAAGGGTAGTTTATAATTTTAAAATTACATATTTCTGTGTAAGTATATAAATTGCATATTTACAAATTTATATTGATAAAATAATACAAACAGTACCAGAGGGAAGGTTACTCAAATTCTTAATACATTATTGACTTGGTTTTTTTGTTGTTTTGTTTTTTTGAGACAAGGTCTCACTTTGTAGCCTTGGCTGACCTGGAGCTCTTTATGTAGACCAGGTTGGCCTTCAACTCCAAGAGCTCAGCCTGTCTCTGCCTCCCAACTGCTGGGATTAAAGGTGTCTGTGCTGGGGCTGGAGAGATGGCTCAGCAGTTAAGAGCACTGACTGCTCTTCCAGAGGACCTGGGTTCAATTCCCAGAACCCACATGGCAGCCCACAACCGTCTGTAACTTCAAGATCTGATGCCTTCACACAGACGTACACGCAGGCAAAACACCAAAGCACATACAATAAAAATAAGCAAATTAAACAGAAAAAGGAGTGTGTGCTACCACACCTAGCAATGTTATTATTTTACAGGTACAAAAATATACGAAGCGTCAGCCCCAAACCATATAGAGCAAACATGAATGACATTTCGCAAAAGGCGGAGGTAAGTAAATCTCAAAAGCTCTGTGTGTGTTTGTGTGTGTGTGTGTGTGTGTGTGTGTGTATATGTGTGTGTGCGCGTGCGCTCTTGAGCTCGTGAGTTCAGGCGGGGGTTGGGGTTGTCAGGAAAAGACTTGGAAAGGGAGGAAATGACAAGCCATGCATGGTTGACGGGAGGATCGTGGGAAGGGTTGTATTTAGGTGTTTGTAAGTGGTAACGTCGGGATGTGCAATGAGACAGGGTTCAGTTCACACGCTGTTTCGGGTCAGTACTTTAATCTGGCTTCTGGGAAGCATGCGTACTGAACTTCTGGAAGATGATAGGGCTATCATCTTACGTAGAATTTTAAATACATTGGTCTCAGAAATGACTCCCTCAATGTGGTTTTCCTGAGGCTGGGACCTTTGGAGGTGACAATTCACACTGAGGAGGAGGACTCTTAGCATCTTCTAGAAAGTGCAGTAAAGGCCTCTTAACTGTCCCCCTTTTCAGCTTCTTGGCTGTGGTTACTGAGAATTGAGAGACCCCAGATGCTGGCACTCAGAAGTGACAAGCGAGGAAACCTGAACGGGCCAGTGACAGGCAGCAGATAAGCACGAGTCTGATCTGTGGTCTGTCACAGGTCAGCAAGCCGCTTGTCCTTGTCGTTAGGAGAGTTTGGCATTCTGACAGTTTATTTGTATTTACAGAAATTTTTTTCAGAAACTAGCTCCTGAAAGATGAGGAGAATCTGCGCTCCTAGCTTTAGATGAGGGGAACCGCTGCCCTCCCCTCCTCTCAGATCTCCTTTCTCCAGGGCTTCCCTGTTAGCGCCTACGCCACTCAGTCCGGTAGGCGTCCTGCGCGTTTTAATAGTTTTTAGGTAGTTTACACAGGAATACGTGGCTCCCCACCTCCTGTGGGGTTAAACTGGCCTTCAGCTTTGCCTGTTTTATCTAATGTAACAGCGGGAATGCTTTGTTTCCAAATTCATATACCTTACTGAGATCGACCTTGTTAATTTATCAAGGAGTGATGTCAACCCTCAATCGGAATCCCTAGCAATAGGGCAGGAAAATAAAAAGCAAGTAGCTTGTGATTAGAGCTCAGTCCTTGATTTCTGTATTTTACTGGCCTTCAGATGCAACAGAATGCTACCTCTAGTTGGGGTTTTGTTTCTGGAGAATTTTTAACAAAATTTCTGCTCTAGTACTTACTGCAACTTCAGATTAACTTAAGTCGTAGAGAACATCTAATCAGGCTGTGATGATCCAAACAGAGGTTTGAAAGTTGTGCCTCTTAGTTTTGGTAAGTATTTTAATGACTCTTTCTTATCTCTGCCTAATTTCCCTTTCTCTTTAAACTTTCTTCTCTTTATTTTTCTCTACCTAAGATTCTGCTGTCTTCATCTAAACCTGTTCCCAAATCCTATGTGCCAAAGCTAGGCAAGGGTGATGTGAAGGATAAGTTTGAAGCCATGCAGAAGGCCAGAGAAGAGAGAAATCAAAGGCGATCTAGAGACGAAAAGCAAAGAAGAAAAGAACAATGTATTAGAGAGAGAGAATGGAACAGGAGAAAGCAGGAGGTCATTTATTTTACTGTGAAAATATTTTCTTCATTTTAATGCATTATCCACACTAACATTTCATAAACACTCAAAAAAATGCTTGTTTGATTTGTAACCTGATTTAAGCAGTGCATCAGCCTCCCTTCCCTTCCCTACAGTCCTACTGTGTGCATCAGCCTCCTTTCCCTTCCCTACAGTCCTACTGTATCAGCCTCCTTTCCTTTCCCTACAGTCCCCACTGTGTGCATCCGCCTCCCTTCCCTACAGTCCCCACTGTGTGCATCCGCCTCCCTTCCCTACAGTCCCACTGTGTGCATCAGCCTCCCTTCCCTACAGTCCCACTGTGTGCATCAGCCTCCCTTCCCTACAGCTCCACTGTGTGCATCAGCCTCCCTTCCCTTCTCTACAGTCCCACTGTGTGCATCAGCCTCCCTTCCCTACAGTCCCACTGTGTGCATCAGCCTCCCTTCTCTACAGTCCTACTGTGTGCATCAGCCTCCCTTCTCTTCACTACAATCCTACTGTGTGCATCAGCCTCCCTTCTCTACAGTCCTACTATGTGCATCAGCCTCCCTTCTCTTCACTACAGTCCTACTGTGTGCATCAGCCTCCTTCCCTTCCCTTCAGTCCCCACTGTGTGCATCAGCCTCCCTTCTCTACAGTCCTACTGTATGCATCAGCCTCCCTTCTCTACAGTCCCTCTCCACTGCTTTCATTGCCTGCAGTCAACCGTGGTCTAAAATAGTAAATTGGAGTTTCCAGAAGTAAACAAAAGCTTTAAATACATTGCATTACAATATGTTTTTATAAGTATTCTCTTTTCTGTAAAAGTTTTTAAAGATTTATTTATTATGTGTACAGTGTTCTCTTTGCATGTAACCCTGCAGGCCAGAAGAGGGCACCAGATCTCATTACAGATGGTTATGAGCCACCACATGGTTGCTGGGAATTGAACTCAAGACCCCCGAGCCTTTGAGCCATGTCTCCAGCCCTAATTATTCTTTTATAATTATTTTTCTTATTTTCTTGCTATACCTAATGTGTAAAGTACCTCAGAACTATAAGACCTGTGAAAAATTATTTTTTCCTTTATGAATATATTATAATTTTCATATAAGAAAAACAGCATGCACAAGGCTCAGAATTACCTCTGGTTTCAGGAACCCATTGGATATCCTAGTGGGTTCTTCTGCAGCTGGGGGACTACTCTAATATAATCTAGCCTGATGTGGGGACATGTGTTCATATTAATTTATTTAACCACCAGATTAAAGAAATGCTTGCTTCAGATGACGAGGAAGAGATTTCTGCTAAAATAGAAAAGGCTTATGTCCCAAAGCTAACAGGTAAGAACTTGAGGGGTAAACGAAAAAGGGATTGCAAGAGAAAGAAAGTAGGCAAAATAGACAACTTTTTGTGTATTCTTAGGGACGGTTAAAGGTAAATTTGATGAAATGGAGAAACACAGACAGGAAGAACAAAGGAAGCGAACAGAAGAGGAAAGAAAACGCAGGCTTGAGCAGGATCTGTTGGAAAAGAGGAAAATACAGCGTGAATTAGCAAAAAGAGCTGAGCAGGTAGATGCTAAATGCTGTATTGATGTTTGTTTCTGGACCTAACAGAACGAATGAGACTAATTAAAATATGGGATACAATATGAGCTCACTAATAGTGGCTAGCCTGGAACCGTCATCTTTTGAAAGACTCAGTGTGAGATCACCTGTAGTATGAGCAGGGTGTGCCCATTTTAGGAGGGTGATGATTGATAGGGTTTTAGTTACACCATCTTTCCAATCATTTCTACATTCCTTAAACTATAGGCCTGACTTTGCTCAGTATCTCTGAGAATGTTACAATGGCATAAGACACTTTCACACGTAAAGTATAAAGCACAATTGTAACTGCTGTCACTTATGAAACAGATTTTTATGAAAGATGTTTATGTGTAGGCATGTTTTGCTGGCATGTGTCTGTGCACACATGTGCACGCAGTGCACGCAGAGGTCAGAAGAGGGCACCTAAAGTTATAGAGTTCTGAGCTGTCATCATGCATGTTCTAGGAACCCAACCCAGGTTCCCTGCAAGAGCAGTGGTGTCCCTTAGCCCCTGAGCTGCCTCCCCCGCCCCTTAAAGCGATACCCTAAGTGCCTTAAGTCGATGCCCTGTGCTCCTCCCAGCTTCTACTGCTTCTCTAGAGAAAGGAGATAAGGAAAACGAAGCGTATCCTACCTAAACTCACATGCATGTCAAGAAAGCCACTAGCTTCAAGTTTGCGAATAGCCTCTTCTGTGAGACAGACAACTACTTATTTGGGGCAAATGATGATATGTGTCAGATTAAATATGAAGAAGAATGAAAACTTCCCTATACTTTATAGTACCCTTATCTGGACAAAGGATGCCATGCACTTCAGTGTTGCCTCTTCTGGGATGAGCTTTCCTTTTGTAGTGAAGTTTGTAAATAAATAGAATTGTAAGAGGAGAACTATTGAACTCTCAATTATCGTCATATGTAATTACTACAAATATATATGATCTATGAATATGTCATATTAAAATTATAAAGTGAATAAGACTAAAGTATATAAAATGTGGCATCTTGCATTATACAGTGCATGGATGTAGAATTAGTCTTTCACTTTTCTGTACTTTCAAAGCACTGGTATTTTCTAGACCTACACTGGCCCATTTTAAACCCAAGAATGGAATAGTAGGCAGTGGTTTCTCAAACAAACCTGTGAGCTTGACTACAATAATAAAAACTGGATGTTCAAAAGGTAAATTAAGATAAACATAATTATGAAAAAAGTCAGTATCTTTACACCAAACACTTGCTATGTGTAGGGTGCCCCAGAGCCCTGGCTAATGATGTGTTAGGTCTATTAAATTAAGACTACAACAGCAGCCGGGCATTGGTGGCGCACGCCTTTAATCCCAGCACTCGGGAGGCAGAGGCAGGTGGATCTCTGTGAGTTCGAGGCCAGCCTGGTCTACAGAGCGAGGTCCAGGACAGCCTCCAAAGCCACAGAGAAACCCTGTCTCGAAAAACCAAAAAAAAAAAAAGACTACAACAGCAACGTAATAATAGCATTTTCCTCTTACAAATGTGTGAAAGCTTAATTTTAAAACATAAGTACATTTTCCACTCAAATTTAATATGACTTAATGCAATGTAATGTAATGTTTGTTTAGTTTACTTGTACAAATCAGTATGCAAAAGGAGTTCCTGAGCTGGGAATGATTAACATGATTACCAAGATATTACTGCTTCTAAGACTGTAGGAGTCACAAAGAGTTAAAAAGGAATCTACCTTGTGTATTAGACACTAGGATAAAGAAATGTGTGAGGAAACACTGAAGGTGTATTATCTGTTTAACACTCAAGATACCTGGATGGAAAATTTAAAGCCCATCTGTTTCGGGACAGATACCGGTGGTAAAGTCAAGGAAAGAAATCTGGGGAAGAAACAAATTCAACACACACACACACACACACACACACACACACACACACTTGAGAAGCAGCTCTTTAATGTTAATTTGTGAAAGTCATCACTAACTGAATTCTGAACATCGGTTCCCTTTGACTATACTAGTAGCATAGCTCCTGAATAAAGTCATCATTCTCCATGTTTGTTTGTTTGTTTGTGTATTGCTTTGTAATGGTTTGAAGTGAGCGAAGATCAGGGAAAACGATGGCGACAGAAATCTAAGCAAACAAAATGGAGAAGCCCTGTGAGTGTTCTGTCCACTTAGCAGGGACAAGGAGGACCTGGGGGTGCTCTGGGAAATAGAAACCTGGGTTAATGGATTGTTTCTCTTTCCAGTATTCTCAGTGTGTCTGGCTTCTCACATTTCATGGATATCTTTTTATTGAGAAATTAATTTGATTGTCCATCGAAATTCAACTCATTTTGTAATTATTTTATTAGAGAGCCATTAAAATTCTATTTAGTATGATACATCACTGAAAAAACCATTTCATTTATACAGCAAGTCAGTTTAATGAGTAATTCTGTAATAAAACAAGTTATTCTTAGAAATTTAATTTTGTCGTATAAAATTACTCTGATAAAACTATTGTTAAAATATAAGGTACTTTGACTTTTATTTTTGGAGACACGGTACCGCTATATAGCCCTGGCTGGTCTGGAACTTGACACATAAACGAGACTGATTTCAAACTCGCAGAAGTCATCCTGACTAAATTTTCACTCTAAGACAGTGCTTTGTTTGCTGGTTTGTCTGTTGTTTGAGATAGGGTTTGTCTGTGTGTTCCGACTGTCCTGGAACTCGCTCTGTAATACCTCGCCCACCCTTTATGACACTTCTTACTTGTCTGTTTTCAAAGTTTCCTTTTCCTGAAATTTCAAACACTGCATTGTTAAAATCACCTGCTTTTATTCTCTCAGCATTGCTAAAATATCAACCTGCCCATCAAGCTAACCTACTGATGTTTCTTCAGAGAAAGCGCTCCAACTTTAGATGATGGTTTTCCCAAATCAGTGTGGCCGAAATATAAGAAAATACAATAAGTACCAGAGTTACCCTCTCTTCTTCTAATCTAGCTGATGGCTCTGTCACACTACAGTATGGCATCAGTTACATTTTTGCCAGATATTTTTGGGTAAGAAATAGGGTCACAACCATGTTATTGCTTATGACGAGTTTTCCTTCTGCTATTGCAGGGCAAAGGATGGAGGGGCATTTTTGTGCATCTGTGTAAATTGCTACTAAATTTGTTCCTTGTAAGTTCACAATAAAAAGTTGAAATTTTACCAGAAGACACGATAAGTTGCTTTTCAGTTGTATGTTTAAAAGCACCAAGTAGAAAATTCAATGTAATGTAACGATATGAAATTCTCATTCAATAGATTGAGGACATTAACAATACGGGAACCGAATCCGCAGCAGAGGTAACAGATGTTTCCTTTAATGAAGCATTCACTGAAAATGACCTGATTCACAAATTATCTTGCAATCCAAGAAGATGTGCAGAGACTTTTTTTCACTATTGATTACAGAGCTCACAATAACAAGGTCAAGGGTGGTTTCTAAAGGCAAGAGCATACTTGGGGCACTTTCAGACAGATATGCTGCTGCCTGCACAGCTGGGTCATGAAGACAGGGCCCTTGAGTCTGTTAGGGACACTCTGCCAAGACCATATGTTTCTTGAATTAGCATCTGAGGCTGTTGAAAACTGTCATTTTTAAAAAGCAATTTCCTTCTCATCATTTGTTGTCTCTCCTCAGAGTCCCTAAGAGCTCGAGTTCTGGTTTTCTTATACCAGTGTAGAGGGTAGTGTGTATCACCAAGAAGGAATGGCCAATAACTATAAAAACATAGTCCAGTTAACTAGCAAGGTTAAAGTCCAACCAACCAATTTGATGGTGTGCCTAGATGTATGCTACAAAAGTTGGAAAATTATTATTTTAGGAGCATGAGTTACAGTTTATGGTTTTGATTTTTGAAAAATGTTAGAAGTTATGATAAATTGGTAGTAAAACCAATTAAAATAAAATTTAAAGGAATGCATTCTAGTTAGATGTAGTGATGCATGGCATATTCCAGCACTCGGGAGGCAGAGGCAGATAGATCTCTGAGTTAGAGGCCAGCCTGGTCTACGTAGCAAGTTCCAGGACAGCCATGGCTACATAGAGAAACCCTGTCTCAAAACAAAGAAACAAACAATTTGTTTTCAACTTTAATAAGATAAATGCTTTACAGCTTTATCTATGTTAGTACATCCCTTAAGTAAATATTCAATGGCTTTTCTCACTAAATACTACTTTACTAAGTACTGAAAAACTTGGATGGGGAAGCAGATCGAGGACAAAACTTTTTGTTGTATGTTAAGTCAAAGCTATACACCATCACATTGGTTTGAAGTGTGCTCACACACAGTGCCTTTTGTGCAATTAATGTACACATTGTCTAAAGTAAGTCAATGCTATCACAGTCTTGTTACCTAATTGGGGAGGGTATATTAATTCTGTCTTCCCAAATGCAGACTGTTTCTTGAAACTGCCGTCAATGGATCTCAGTAGGCTTCATTAATAATGCACAGTGAGTTTAGAGAAAGATGTATTCAAGAGATAAAGTCTTTTTTGTCCTTGACAGCAATGTAATTCACCACTTATGGAGGTGAAGTACCCCACCACCTACACTTTTATTAAGAATATAGACACTAATCATCTGTGTTATAAATAGGAAGGAGATGACTCACTGCTTATAACAGTGGTGCCTACCAAGTCATACAAAATGTCCGCAAGAGTAAAGAACGCCGAGGACCTGGAACAAGAACAAGGGAGTGAGCGGCTTAACCATGAAGATGATAAGACAAGGAGACACGGGGAAGAGTGCCGGTCTCTCAAGGAAGCAGAGTGTCTTTCGTTAGTCATGGTAATTTCCTTTACAAGTCCGAAGTTTAGTTAATAGCAATTGTCCTTCGGGTAACAAGTTTGTCTTCATAGGATGATGAAACTGAGGCCAAAAAAGAGTCCCCTTTTCCTGGAAAACTGAAATTAACCTTTGAGGAACTGGAGCGACAAAGACAAGAAAATCGCAAGAAGCAAGCTGAGGAGGAAGCGAGACGGCGCTTAGAGGAAGAGAGGCGGGCCTTTGAGGAAGCCAGGAGGCTCATGGCAAGTATATATATATATATATATATATATATATATATATATATATATATATATATATATATACATGTATATATATATATGTATATATATATATATGTGTATGCATGCCTTAGCTTTGCCTGTCACGGGTAGCTGCACGCGAGGCTGACTGCAGATCCCGGGGGCCTCTCTAATCGGAAACCTCATTTCATGGTTTCTTTTTTCCAAGCGCTATGGATTGGACTCAGGGCCTTTGTATGCTAAACAAGTGCTCTACCACTGACCCTATTCAAATCCCAAAGGCATGGCTTTGCAACCATATAGATATATGAGATATACATACATACATATGAGATATATGTACATACATATATATGCAATATATAATATACATGCATATAATTCATCTGTATTTTCTCTGAGCTTTCACTTTGTCCACTATGCTTTACACCTTTATTTTAATACCGTATACTATATTAATATATAGATATTGCTCAATGCGTCTGGTTTCTCTTCATGTGCAAGTTAAGCAGTATGTTTAATGGTATGGCTGCAGGATATTTTCCAGTCAAATTAGCCAACCTAAGAATTGCTCTGTAACCCCAGCTGCTTGGGAGGATAAGGAAGAGCACACATTCAAGACGGAACTACAGAGTCAGTGAGAGCTGAAGGCCAGCCTGGGCAACTTAGTGAGACTCAGTGACAGGGAACTCGTCCAGCATGCGCAAGACCGGAGGGCTAGCCCCCACTAACTCTCTACTACCCGAAGAGAGGCAAGCATGGATTCCAGTCTCATTTTGAGAATTTAAAATGAAAAGCTGTAATCTCAAAGTTACCATGACTTTCTTGATCAGCTTTCATTAATCAAGTTATGAGGATTACAGCTCACCATTTTAAAATTTCTAGACATTTATTTAAAATGTGGTAACTTTTGGCCAGGTGTGGTGGTGCATGCTTTTAACCCCAGCATCTGAGAGGCAGGGGCAGACAGGTGAGTTCTAAGACAAGCTGGTCTGTAAAAGTAAGACTTTCTCAGCAGGGTGGTGGTGGCGCACGCCTTTAATCCCAGCACTCGGGAGGCAGAGGCAGGTGGATCTCTGTGAGTTTGAGGCTGGGCTGGACTGACAGCCTCCAAAACAATACAGAGAAACCCTGTCTCGTAAAAACCAAAAAAAAAAAAAAAAAAAGAATCTTTCTCAAAATCAAATAAATAAAATGGTACTCACTTTTAGATAATACCTGCACATTTTAATATAACTGGTAATCAGCTTAATAAGACAAGTAATAGGTTTCAGTTCATGATTAAATGAGCAAATACTTGTGAAATGAATTTTATATAAAATAATGCCAGATCAGATGGCAGGATTTTTTTTATCGGATTAGTATAAGGAAAATCACCAGAGTTCAAAGTGAGGAAATTATTTTTTCTTTGAAAAAAAAACTTTTTTTGGTTTTTCAAGACAGGGTTTCTCTGTGTAGATAAATTTTACTTCATTTTATTGAATCTTGAGTACATTTTTATTTGCAACTTCTCCACATTTGATTATTCTATCATCTAGGGCATTAAGATGGGAAAGGATCAGGTTAGGTGGTATCTTTTAATCTGAGCACTTGGGAGGAAGAGGCAGGGAGATCTCTCTGAGTTCAAGTTCAGCCAGGTTTACATAATGAGTTCCAAGGCAGCCAGTGCTATTTAGAGAGACCCTGACTCAATAAATCAAAACTGAATAGAAAGGAAGAGGCTTTGGAGTAAGTATTCTGGGAGCATGGAAACACTTGGTCAAGCTGCTAAGCTCATGTCTTTCACTGGTGATGCGTTCCTGTCCCGGTGAATCTCAACTTTTAGTGATGCATATTCTCTTTATTAGGTAAACGAGGAGGATGAAAACCAAGACACAGGGAAGGTTTTTAAAGAGTACCGCCCTGGAAAACTCAAACTCAGTTTTGAAGAACTAGAAAGGCAGAGGAGAGAAGAAGAAAAAAGAAGAGCCGAGGAGGAGGCCCGGAGGAGAATAGAGGAGGAGAAGGCGGCATTTGCTGAAGCAAGGAGAAGCATGGTAAGAGAAGCTAACTCGACACTGTTTGGGGATTCAGCATGTGTGCACATCACGTGTGCAATTGTGCAAGCTATGAAAAGCCAGGCAGTCGCCTTGGTGTGGTCCTTAGGAGTGCTGCCCTCTTTTAAGACTGGAGTGGCTAGCAGTCTGTGGAACCCTGCCTCTGCCTTAGTGCAGGGATTGCAGTCTGAGGAATCCTCCCTCTGCCTCTCAGTGCTGGGATTGCAGCTGTGCAACCTAGTTTACTTGTGTTCCAGAGACTGAACTCAGGTCCTCAAGCTTGCAAGACGAGAACTTTACTGACTGAGCTATCAAGCCTAGTCTAGAGATTCCTTTTTTTAGAGGGTACAAATGAAATGATTAGACTCTGAGGAATAGCCTCTCATCTCTGAAATCTGTAGCAAGCCTATGAATGCCAAATAGGTTTTAAATACCAGGCACTTGTCAGCCTTTTCTTCCCTTGTGTTGAAAGGGTTCTGATTACCAATGCCATCCATGGCTGGCATAAAGGGTTGGACACTGTTGTCTCTCTCTGGAAAGATATGCTTTCTAGACTAGATCCGAGTGTCAAGAAAAGAAATATTGAGCTGGAGAGATGGATCAGCAGTTAAGAGCCCTGGATGCCCTAACCCAAGGACCAGGGTTCAATTCCCAGCACCCACATGGCAGCTGATAACTGTAACTCCAGTTCTAGGGGATCTGACATCTTCACACCAGTGCACATGAAATAATTTTTTAAAAGAAAGGAGTTCTGTTTACGTAAAAAAAAAATGAAAAGAACAATCAGGGAATTTTCCCTTAGAGTTCCTTCTTTCCTATAATTCCCCTCCTTCCTGTTCCTCTTTTCCCATAATTCCCCTCCTTCCTGTTCCTCCTCTCCTATAGGTCCCTCCTTCCTGTTCCTCCCTCCTATCGGTCCCTCCTTCCTGTTCCTCCTCTCCTATAGGCTCCTCCTTCCTGTTCCTCCCTCCTATAGGTCCCTCCTTCCTGTTCCTCCCTCCTATAGGCTCCTCCTTCCTGTTTCTCCCTCCTATAGGCTCCTCCTACCTGTTCCTCCCTCCTATAGGCTCCTCCTTCCTGTTCCTCCCTCCTATAGGCTCCTCCTTCCTGTTCCTCCCTCCTATAGGTCCCTCCTTCCTGTTCCTCCTCTCCTATAGGCCCCTCCTTCCTGTTCCTCCTCTCCTATAGCCCCTCCTTCCTGTTCCTGTTCCTCCCTCCTATAGGCTCCGCCTTCCCCTCCCTTCTCTCCTTCCATTCCCTTCCCCGCTGCCCCTCTCCTTTATTCTTGTCATTTTATTCCTACTCAGTCTATTGTAAAAGTCACTTAATCATAATAATCTAACTCTTCAAAATACCCATTATTCTTTCTTATATATTGATACCTAATTTGTCACAAAGGTAAACTTTCCATGCCATGTTGTAAAATGACTATCTGATGAACCACTCCAATCAGAAACACTCCAATCTGAAACATGTGACTCCATTCTTTCATTCATTCCTAAGTGGCTATAAACTCCCATTTATTCAACTCCCTGACTTAGTCTACCACCTTCACTGCTGTAATCCATATCACTGTTGCTGTCCCTTGCCTGGGACCTAAGTCCTAATTTGCTTGATTCCTTGCCTGTGAGTCTAGGAGAGGTGTTCTCCCTTGGTATCCATGTCTGCATGTAGGCCACAGTTCAGATCAGAGAGAGAGTGTGTTTATTTCCAGGAGACAGAAAAATGGAATTAAATTATTTTTTTCCTGGTACAATATATTTGACATCAGCTTGGGAATTGCCTGAATTCAGGATGTGACAGTGTGATAATACTGTTATTGGGGGCGGGAAGACGGCTCAGCTGGGTGAAGACACTGCTAGGCCTGATGACCTGAGTTCAATCCTGGACACTTGCATGATAGGAAGAATTTTTTTTCCCAACACCTACATGCCCACCCCCCCAAAATAGACAGAAGAGCATTTTAAAAAGTTAAAACATTTACTGTTGGGAGCCTGCCATGATGTTGGACAGAGCACGAAGTATTTCCAAGCTTCATTGTATCGATACTGTGAGAACTGTAAGAAAGTTGTCACAGTGAGGATCGGAGAGGTAGGTGGCTTGCCCAAGGTCACAATCAAATTAATTCCTCATAGAAATTGACAACACTATGAAAAAAGTCTGTTATTCACATTTCTAGTGAACTTCTGGTTTCAGCACGACACTTTCCTACAGGTATGACATTATTTATAATCGTATTGGAAATACTCTGAGCCCTGGTTTCTGGCTTTGCTACCTGGCATGTCTGCTCACTTTGGACCAGTTACTTTTCAGTCTCTCAGGTTCTTTACATGGAAATCAAGGATATTTATCCTAAGCTATTTCTTAAGGTTACAGGGTTAGCTAAATATATGTACCCATAAGTGGACCCGGCAGTTTTCTAAGAATATATTAAACATTATTTCTTTAAAACATCTAGGCAACCAAACTTCTGCATAATAAAATTATGGCATTAAGACTTTTTGTTTTTCTCATAAAAGCTCATGATGACCCAGATGTAATCAACTCTCTAAGACCAGACTATCACTTAACTAAAATGCTCCATTTTAGTGACCAGATTTGGAGATTCACTTCAATCTAATTAAAATATTCTTGATGTGATTAAAAAATCATTGCATAAATATTTTTGTTCATTTGAATGGAGAACAGATGCAGAGGGTTACCAGCCTCCACACGGCAGATACCCATCTTATATTTCTGATAATACCCTCTTGTGAAAGTTTATAATTTCTGAATTTTTAGATCAACTTGGAACACTTTTATTCAAGAAATCTATAAGAAATACTACCTTTTCAGTATGCACAATTATGGAAACTATGATAAAATATTTATTTTAAATAGGTACTAGGTGATGACTCCCCAGAGATATACAAAACAGTTTCTCAAGAATCTCTGATGCCTGGAAAACTGGAAATTAATTTTGAAGAATTATTAAGACAAAAAATGGAAGAAGAAAGACGACGAACGGAGGAGGAACGAAGGCATAAACTAGAAATGGAGAAGCAGGGATTTGAGCAGCTGAGGCAGGAAATGGGAGAGGTAAGATGGAGGACCCCTCACTGAAGTCTGAGTGTTTCCTTATATTGCTCCATTGTGACTTTACGTATTACTAATCACATAAGGCATCAGACATACTTTTATCACAGATATATAGGTGTGTGTCCAACCTGGTAGAATGTGACTAGGAATGTGGCCGGACAAAAAAACCCAAAAAACTCACTTAAGATATTAAGATCTTTTAGGTATTTACTTGTTGTAACTAAATCGTCTGTTTCTCCTGTGTGACGTTGTAGGTAACAGTGTCCTGATGCAATGTCAAAGATAGTGTTGTTCTTCCAAAGGACTGCGATTCAATTCCCAGTACCCATATGGTGGATAACAGTCATCCATTCACTCCAGTTCTTGGGGATCTGATGCTCTATTCTGACCCACAGAGGCAAAGCATTATATGTAAAAAAATAAGATCTAAAAATTTGTAATTGATATAGTATTTAATTGTGGGTCCTAAAGTACAATTGTGTTGAATGTTAGCAATTAAATATGTCAAAGAGAAGTCTTTTTCTTTTTGAGACAGTTTCTTTGTGTAGCCTTGGCTGTCCTGGAACTAGCTCTATAGACCAGGTTGGCCTCATAGAGACCTACCTGCCTCTGTCTCCCAAGTGCTGGGGAGCCCATCATTCTGCCAAAGAGAAGTTGTGCATGGCTTCTTTTATAGGAAAAGGTGGAAGTTCTTAGTAAGTACAGTTTGTTTTTAACTTAGAACTTATTTTGTGTGTAGGGTTGTTTTCCCTGCATGTATATATGGTGTCACCTGCTAATAGTGCCAGTGGGGCCAGGAGCGTGTTGGATCTCCTGGAGCTGGAGTTAAAAGGTTGTGAGTCTGTGTGTGGGTGCTAGCTACTGAACCCAGATCCCCAGGAAGATTTGCCAGTGTCTTAAGCACTAAGCCATTTCTCCAAACCCAGAAATAAAACTCTGAATACACAGTATGCACAGCATTCCATTTGATCTGTGGCTTCCAGGCATCTGCTTGTCATGGAATATACTTCCCACACACAGAAGAGGGGGGATCCATTGTAATTTTCTGATATTCAACATACAGACATCTTAATCTTTTGAAGGAAGAAGAAGAAAATGAAACTTTTGGATTGAGTAGAGAATATGAAGAACTAATCAAATTAAAAAGAAGTGGTTCTATTCAAGCTAAAAATCTAAAAAGTAAGTTTGAAAAAATTGGACAGTTGTCTGAAAAAGAAATACAGAAGAAGATAGAAGAAGAACGAGCAAAGAGGAGAGCAATTGACCTTGAAATTAAAGAGCGAGAAGCAGAAAACTTCCACGAGGTATATTATTGTTGTATTTGTTATAACCTTGATCTTAAAATAAGTATTAGTATTATTGGTATATATGTAAGAATCTGGAAACTAAATAACAAAAGACCATTTAGCTCATAAAGCACTCGGAGTCCAAAAGGATGAGGAGGGAGGAATAGAGAAAACATGGATGGTAGCGAAGTTTAGAAATAAACCAAGCAGGACAACAGTTGGTCAGGCAAGTTGTTCTGGGAACACCCAAGTGAGCCAGGGGTATGACAGAAAACAACTTATTGTGCTACACGTTACCTACTGTGTGAAGTTACATTGGACATAGTTACGCAAGAGGTTTGTAGTGTGGAGTTATTTCAGCGGGATGGAACGGTTACAGCTCTGTCCTAGCCTCCTCTGATGCTACTTGGCCACCTTTGGTGACACGGGTTTTGGGCTTAGTGAGACTCAAGCATGTGTATGAGTATCAGTGGTAATAAAACAGTAGTTTAGTGATGTTGGAAAATACTAGTATTTACTGGCCATGTAGTACAAAATAAAGTTAAAATCTAATCTTTAAACAGCATAGGTCAAGTTCAAGATGGGTATGAAGAATTATTGCTGTAATGCCAGGACTTGGGAGAGACAGGATGAGTTCAAGGGCAGTCTGGGCTACGGGAAGACCCCCCTTTTCCGAGGCAGGGTTTCCCTGTGACTTTGGAGGCTGTCCTGGAACTGGCTCTTGTAGACCAGGCTGGTCTCAAACTCAGAGGTCCACCTGCCTCTGCCTCCCGAGTGCTGGGATTAAAAGCGTGTGCCACCACCACCTGGCTGGAAGACCCTGTCTTAAACAAAACCATCTACCCAACAGTTGCTCTTTTGTTAAAGGCAGTCACTTCTAGTGACCTGCAAGAGTAAACCTGTATGCTTGATGCTTTACTTCTTCTGGCACTTAGATGTCAGATGTGGGAATTCAGCCAAGTTTTGGGGGTACAGTGGCAAACGGGGGGAGAATTGGGGTGGCTGTGCAGCAGCGGTACAACTGGATGCTGCTGTTAAGTAGTTACCTCACCAACCAGAACGGGCTGGTTTCCAACGAAGGATGTGTAAAGTCTGTCTCTTCTATTCACCTTGTAAAGGCCTTTACAAACTTTAGGTGTTAAGTTACAGTGATGGACTTGCCCTCCAACTACCTGAATCTCTGTATCTTGTTGAGAACTACCAATGTTCGTATTGGGAGTGGTGGTACACTCCTTCCACCCAGAGACAGATTGATGCTTTTAATGTTTGACCTGGTGAGTTCTAGGCCAGCCAGTGAGATCTGGCACCAAATTTAGGGGTAACACCTTACCTCCACTTCCATGAAGCCTCAAGTCACCACATGAAGGTATGGAGAAAAGAATCACATGAGGACTCATGCTAGACACTCAGTCAACGAAGCTACGCTCTCAGCCTGACTTGGTTCCCTAATGTCCTCCTGTATCCCGAGAGCACTGTTGTTTTAACATCCTGATTCCAATACTACTAGTGCACTGACACTCATTCCATTTAAAACATATCCTTTCCCAGAACACCAGTCTTGCTTTCCAAACATTCTAGAAAAGCATTGATGTTAAATGACATTCTTTTCAGTTAGGTCAGGAACAACTCTTTTGCTTAGTTAAATCTCTCATTTTCTAAATGTAGTTTTGAGCTAAATCCTTAAAAGAGAAATTATATGTCCTATGAGGATTCCGTTAAAACAGTGGTTAATATATTGGCTTAAGTGTTCTCATGTACTTGAAAAGGTCTGTGACGATGGAATCATGCTATAGGCCCTATGCACACCAGACAGGTACTCTACCATCTTAGCTACATCTATAACCCCAGAACACATATTTTTTTTTACCTTGTAACAGTAAGTCAGTGTCACTGGCAACTAGTCATTGCGAGGCTAAATGAACAGCACAAGATAATGCACCCATCAGCTACCAAGTTATCTCATGTTCTGGCATTTCCCTAAGAAAACCAAAACGTGACCTGGTAAACTAAGAAACTTCCATACTGATGAAAGCATGCATTTGCCCACGAGCCATTATCTTCCTACAGAACTAATCTACAACTTGTTTCTCAGTTTTCATTTATTGGATAATTATACCCTCCCATCCCCCACTGCACTATGGTAACACAAATCCCCCCCCACACACATACCAGAGGCCAACAAAGGCCTTTATTTAATGGCTGTGACTGCAGCTAGTTGACAGTATGTGCCTAGCAGTATTTAGGAAGCCATGGCTTCAGCCTTTGCCATCAGATAAACTGGATGAGGCCTCACAGGCTGCAACAGCTTGGCAGTTAAATGAGCCTGCTGCTCTCTTGGAAGAGGACTGGGGCTTTTTCCAGGCACTCACTGAACAGCTCACAACCATCTGTAACTCCAGTTCCAGAGAATGCCACCCTTTTCTGACTCCACAGTCACTGCACACACACACAGTACTGCAGGCTAAAGTCCTACAGCAAAACCAAAAAGCCCTAAAGCTAACCTTTAGAACCAGTCAGTTCAATACCACTGTATAAGACTGAAAACATTTTGACACTATTGGCCTTTTCCATGATGGTATTCATCCTTAAATACATGACTCACCTTAAGTCACTTTCCCCTTATTTATTCCGGATGCTTCTCCATTTTTTTTCTTTCTTTTTTTTTTTGGTTTTTTCCAGACAGGGTTTCTCTGTATTGTTTTGGAGGCTGTCCTGGAACTTGCTCTGTAGACCAGGCTGGCCTGAAACTCAGAGATCCGCTTGCCTCTGCCTCCCGAGTGCTGGGATTAAAGGCGTGCGCCACCAACGCCCGGCTGCTTCTCCATATTCTTATGTATACTTCTTTGACATTTGACCATAACTTACATAACTTATTTTATGCCTGTGAGTTACCAAACCACTAATGAAATCAATTCCTGGCAAGCAACTTTAATTTATTTATTTTTAAAGGAGGATGATGTTGATGTAAAGCCTGCAAAAAAAAGTGAATCTCCCTTTACTCATAAAGTGAACATGAAAGCCAGATTTGAACAAATGGCTAAGGCAAGAGAAGAGGAGGAACAACGGAGAATTGAAGAACAAAAGTTACTACGAATGCAGTTTGAACAGAAAGAAATTGATGCGGCACTACAAAAGGTATGCATCTACATATACAGAGTGAGTTCCAAAACTGCTTGCAAGCAATTAAATTGTCTTCATAGTGTTCAAGCCATTGGAATGGTTTAAAGATAGTGCTTGATGCTCTGGGTTTCATTGATTATACTAACACTGAGTTATATATCCCAAACTTTCTTTTACCTCCAAAATTCTATTAGTAAAAGTAAATGACTTGATGAATGCACTTATTTTAATATAGAAAAGAGAAGATGATGAGGAGGAAGAAGGTAGCATCTTTAATGGCTCCACTCCTGAAGATGAAGAGCAAACCAGATCAGGAGCTCCATGGTTCAAAAAGCCTCTCAGAAACACCTCAGTTGTAGACAGTGAGCCAGTCAGATTCACTGTGAAAGTAACAGGGGAACCCAAGCCAGAAATCACATGGTGGTTTGAAGGAGAAATGCTGCAGGACGGAGAAGACTATCAGTACATCGAAAGAGGTGAAACTTACTGCCTCTATTTGCCAGAGACTTTCCCAGAAGATGGAGGAGAATACATGTGCAAAGCAGTCAACAATAAAGGCTCTGCAGCAAGTACCTGCATTCTTACCATCGAAAGTAAGAATTAACTGGCTTTTGATCCTTTATTTTACTAAAGAAATAAATAGGAAAAACATCATTCTTCTCTCTCTCTCTTTTTTAGTGGATGACTACTAGGCTTCCTTCTCTCCTTGGAACTCTTTCTGCAGCTCTTTTGCTACATTTCTGTGGAGGGGCCAGAGGAGCTACTATGTTGACTTAATACCCTTCCCCAAAAGAGGAGATCATCCAAAGAATGCCTTTTCCAATGCACATCAGGCGTGCCCAGTTCAAATGTAGCCGACAGGGAAGGGAGATGTACTCATTCTGTCAGAACCTAAACCAAAAGCTTTTTATTTACCAATTATGCTTGCATGACTAAATTTAAGGATGAGTTTCACCTCTAAAATCAGGCAGAGGACAATGTATGTATGTAACTGCTGTAGCCTCAAGTGTTCTGAAGCAGATATACCGACAGAGTAGCGTCATTCTTCTCACAACAAAGGTGGAACACCGAAAAACCCAAGCAGTTTTTTAAAAAAGGAACTACTAAATTTGATACAAACCAAAGCTTGTGCAGTGTTCCAAGTGTGATGAGTATTTAACATGTTTTCAAATGTGCAATGACTTCACTTAAATTTATGCTGTGACCTTCTCAACAAATTATACTTTAATGAGAAAATATTAGTATTCTATGTAGGAACAATGGCTTTTTAAAACATAGTTGAAGGTTTCAAGACATAAGAGGAATAGATTTAGGAGAAAGTGATTCATTTTAAAATAAGTCTGTAAATGTCAAATATGGTAGGTACACACCTTTACCCCCAGAACTTGAGAGACAAAGGCAGCAGTTCAATGTCACCCTGGTCTATATCATGAATTCCAGGCTAGCCAAGACTACATAGTGAGACTGTCTGGAAACAACAACGAAGTCTGTAAATAATAATTAACTATTGTGTTCTATTATTTGGTTGTTTTGTATTTATATTCAATTTCCTGGAAAACAATTTATTCTTACATTGTGAAACCCTAATAAAGTTACCCGTGCTTTAAAAAGGTGGTCTTCTTATTAAAGCTGTGCAATAAACCATCTGCCTTCTTAAAAGTTTAAAGAACTGAGCATCAGAATCCAAAAGGCAAACCACCACCAGTACTTTTCTGATAGCCAATCTTTAATAACAGGACTAAGGAAGTTTCAACTCAGTATACACAAAGACACAAAAGACAAAAAGCACTCTCGTAATAGTAATCACTGTACATTTATTTTTAAATTAAGGAAAGCATAAAGAATACAAAATTACAACAATCACGTGCCCCTTTACATACATTGTCATTAAAGCAAAACTCTAAACCAGTTTGTAAAGTATTCAATTTACCTCAAGTCCAAGCTGCATCTCCCTAAGACACTGTTCCCATCACAGTAGCCATTTTAAGCCAATCTTCTTTTAACACACGGGTAGTTTCTGCAGAGAACACTTTTCTCAGGACGAAAATGCATCGAGCATGCATAAGAAAATATATATATTTGCAAATGCATTAAGAGTTTTAGGGTATCACTGAAGAAAATAAAACCCTGGGTTTTGCTTCTTTAAGCACCAATTTAAAAATTCCTTAATTAACGTCAATTGACTGATCAAACAGAAATTAGGATTATTTTCAGTCAAATTATCTCTAAGTATTATGAAAATGCACTTTAAAACTGAGACATCTCCAGTGATCAGTTAAGTCTACATCAATATTCTAGCTGACACGTAACTGTTTTCAGGAAGAACTGGCTGAACTGGCAAAGCAGTCACGTCACGAACACTCCCTCTGCGAACACCCACAACTGCTATCTAAACTCACTTCAATCAATTAACTACCAAGATATTTGTTTAAGACCACACTTTACAACTAGTATCAAATCACTAGTTTTAATATTAAAATGATTCTCATTACTAAAAAGCAAGTATACGCATTTCTGAAACATCAAAGAATTCAAAATTATCACTACACTAACATGTATGTCATTAAAAAAGCTGTAAACTTATTTAAATATTGAGTTTAAATTTCAATTTTTCTACCACCCTTATCATCTACTGGATTCAAACCACTGTCTCACCTTTTCTGCCTCCCAGTTTACTCAGAGGTCAAGACTGGTGCCATTCAAAATGCTTAAAGTGCCAGAAAGGGCATGGCAATGCATTAAACGTCAAGACAGAAACAATCCCCAGCTTCTATAAGCATTCATCCAGACTTCCAATACTTCACAGGCTCTAAAGAGGTCTACTTTCAACACACTCTCACTCACTCACTCACTCACACACTCACTCACTCTCCTCTCTCTCTCTCTCTCACACACACACACACACACACACACACACACACACACACACACACACACACACACAGTGTGTGCACACAAACTACATAATTTAAACTTAACAGTTCATGGAACATTTAAGTGAATAGCACTTTAAAATGAAAAGTGATCAAGAGCAGGTACATTATACCCTGTATCATATTATGTATGGGAATACATTTCATATTTCTCAATTATGACTTGCCAATTTTACCTTCTACATTGAGCCCTTCTATGGTCCATGCTCATCGGCTCACCAATGGCATACACTCAAAGGATTCCTCTTTATGGGTAACTATCTCAGGACCTGATTTTATGAGCTATGATTTGGTGCTTGCAGCATCTTCAGCACTGTGTGTGAAAATGAAGGCAGTATTTTTGAATAGTTTTCTTTGTTGTAAAAATAAGCAGGAGTTTTTAATAGGATCAGCACATTTTAGAAACTGAATAAAAACAAAACTGATATGGTGCTGCTTTAAGACAGTCATCTTAAGTCAAAATATGTACTAGTTATAAACATCATTCCTAAGAACACAAACATTTTAAACTGGCAAAAATAAACGCAGCGTCAGTTATTAAGGTATTATAAATCAGAAACTTGGTTATGCAGACTATGAAAGGTTATTTGTTACACAGTTAACATTTCACTGAGCACATGCCTTTTTAAAACTTACTGCCAGTTTTCCTTATTCTTCCTTGCCAGCAAATGTAAGTCATGAAAACAAAACTGTCTACAACTGACCCAAAATGTTCTTACTGAATTACTATACTTTAAAGCAGTAGTAAAAGGAAAAAAGAAAAACAAAAACCCCAGGTTTGGAGGATAAAGAAAATGTCCTGTCAGTTATACAAACAGGCTGTGAAGGCTGTTGAAATGTCTGACGGAATGATTTCCTAAGTCTTAACTATTTAACTATTTTTACTGCAACACTTCTATAACTTAACTATTTAACTATTCTTACTGTAACACTTCTATAACTTGGGGGAGGGAGGTACAAAAAGATTTGGGTGTTTTTCAGTTATAGCAGCAATCTACTAGTTTTAATTAAAAAAAATTAAAATAAAAACCATTACCCAAAAGTATAGACAGTTGCTTGAACAACTTAACAGACTTTCCACTAGAATGGTAGCATAAATAACAAAATACATTTGGGGAAGCAGTAGCAGATTGCTTTTGAGTACACAACCACAAAAACCTCACAGGGACAACATTAATGTATTGATATAGTTATAGATATGTCCTTAGGTTGTGCTTACCTGTTGCTTTTTGCAGCAGAACCTAAGGTGGAAGGTCTGGGAAGGCACTGTGAAGTATAAATAATTGCACTGTTTGCAATTAATAAAGATTTTAAACTTTAAACGAATCAAAATCAACAGCCTCCAACTTGTGAATTATGATACTGAATCCAACTATTTCCTTCAGTTTAATTACTAAATGCATCACTTTCCTAGGTCATCTATGCAACAACATCATGCAAAATACTGAAATTGTTCATGTCAATACCCTACACTTAAGAGAATAGATAACTCCTTAACTATTAAACTTCAAACTAGACTATGTATACAAATCTAAATAAGGGTAAGGGAAGTCACTCTAAGTTACATAAAACAGTCAAAAACATTTCAAAACATCCACAATGAGCTGTACTGTTTTCTGCCCTACTATCTCAACATTTTTGGCCGTATACATCTTCCTTTAAAGTATATGCAAAACAAACAGTGCTCCCCACAGTTAGAACACATTTATGAAAAGGTGTTAAATGCTACATTGCTTATAATTTGCAATCTGAAAACCACTTCTGTCCTACACATTTCAAGTTTTTCATATCACTATAAAAGATGTACATTTTACACTGAAAATCGGCGTTTTAGGAGCACCGATAGATAATACTATTCAATTCTGTTAATGATCAATTTTCTTTAGCTATTAGCTAAAGCATTATCAAAAATACTTACCCATTAAGCTCACTTAAAAAAAAATACAGAACTATGTATTATTCTACGTTAAGAGGCAGTTATGGTCTCCCATAATATCAGCACTGTATTCCAACATAATATTTACACAAAGTATAGCAGTTGCATTATGTGGAACATGGACAAAAAGACACTGTTGCAGTTCATCAATTTGTCACTCTGATGTACTTACAGTGCAATGCTCCTTGAAGGAACACAATCAAGGGTGATACACAGCACAGTCCTCCTCACCCCTACAGAGCTAGTTCTATACTGGCTGGATCAAACCTGCACTTCAACAGACAATGGCAAGACAGACTGTATTTGCATGTAGTCTAATATATTAATATGCAAAGAGCCAACAAATATGCAGAGTAAAACAATGGTTTTCAACAAAACATCAGAACTTCAGCATGAATGTTAAAGAGTAATAAAATGGTTCAAATACACAAAAATTAATTGATTCAATGACTGGACTTGTGCAATTACAAGACAATGCTTATCTATACTGCAAAAAGAAGAAAGTTCGAATATCTTCATACCCCAAATGTTTCAATGGCAGATGCAATGTAGCTATACTTTTGCATACTATTTACTTTTCTATCCTAAATTTAGAAAGAAACACACTATTATATACATTGAAAGAGTTGCTTCACATGAAAAAACAAAAGGCTTCTTATAAACTACTCAAACCACTGTCTGAAAACTGTTCAAAATAAGTTATGCTGAAACAGTCTTGGAAATAAGTGAAGAACAGAAAGGTTAACTGTTGTAGCAGCAGTACAGGTCTGAAACAGTGCTCATATATAAAAGGAAATTTCACTGTTAATGCAATGGAAGTACACTAAAGATCACTGTATACACATGCAGTTTTTAATCAAACAGAAGGAAAAATGAAGGTATCAGGATTACTTGTGCTGAAACAGCCAAACACAACAGAAAAGATCCTCCAATCTACCACTATACTGCAGGGGAAAACATGCCAGTGTTTAACTCCGTCCTTCGGGGAAAGCTTTAAATTTGTGTATATGTATCTTAATTTACCACTAAGAACCATGAATCCTGTACCCGCATATCCAACTTACCGACACACGAGGTTTCATATCATTTATTGTAAAGCACAAAACAGGCATTGGAAAGTGAGAGGATACATTGAAAAAGTACATTTATATGTATCACAAAGCATCGACCACATAATAGTTGCAAATACATTTGCTGGAATGTATACATCTACACTAAGGACTAAAAACAAACCAATTTTCATTTCTACACAGAAATATTAACCTCCTATCAGTAGTGATAGATATTTTGTACATTTTCAAAGTAAAAAAGGGGGGGAAAACACTACTTTAAACCAAAAACAAAATTAAGATCTTCATCAAGTCGTCTGCATCCATATATTTAACAAAGGTTTTTTTCCCCCACACAATGAAGCAAATACTGTATTGTCCACTTCTTATTATTGGCCCTGTGCAGAAGAGATACATAAGAGATACACAAAAAGTTAAAGAAAATCCTTTAAATGGAGCTAATTCAGGAGTGAATCCTTTAAGAAAGAAAAACTGGTTAATATAAATGATGGTGGCTTCTTGCATGATTTGCAAATCCCTGGGGGAAGAAAATTTATTTTTTTAAAATCAAAGGCATTATAAAAATAGCACTCAGATGCCAGAAAGCATTATAAAAAACAAATCCCCAAACACACCACATCGTATTTATACTTTACCAGTAAAAAAGTAGAACATATTCCCAACAGACAAACATGCAGAAAACATGGTTGGAGTGGGGAAAAAAGAAAAGAAAAAAGGAAAAACCAATTAGCAAGTGTGTATACCTGAGGCGCTGGAGGATGCTGAGGCATTCCTTGGGGACTTGTCTGGGCATAGTATGCTGCTTGCTGTCTATAGTATTCAGCCCAGGCTGCACTATAATCTGGCTGACCACCTGGTGGGGCTCCAGTGGGAGCAGGAACTGCTTGACCTTCAGGAAAAGAGAGGAACTTTATTGCTCCAACTATAATTAATTATGTCTCACAGAATCTCTTGTCTAGTAAAGATACCTTGCTGGTAATATTCCCGCCCAGCCTTTGAATACTCTTGTGTCTGCCCTTGTTGACCTGAAAACAACCCCGAATTTCAATACAAATTTCCATCCACTGTATGTACTTTATAACGACAGGCACAGAGGCTCTTGTTTCTCTTGAGACAGGGTTTCTTTCACTCATGCAGCACAGGCTGGCTCACAACTTGTCATCATCTTGCCAACTTCCCAAGAGCTGGGATTAAGTGTATGCCAATGCCCCTTCAGCTACTGCTTATCTTAAATATGCCCTAAAGAGAGAGGGAGAAAAGTGCAGCACACAAAAACAAACAAAAAATCGGCTCTTTTCATCTTAATCAAACTGTAGTCTTTAGTCCATTTCTAGCAATAAAGACAAACAATCGAAACTCACAGAGTTATAAACAAAGGCAAAGACTCAGACATAATCTTTGACAAAGAAGAAGAAACTACGTTAAGTTCTGTGAATGTGTGTGTTGTTTGGTTTTTTTTCTACACAGGGTTCCTCTGTGTAGCTCTGGCTGGCCTACAACTCAGAGAGATCCACCTGCCTCTGCCTTACCAGTCATGGGACTATTATACATATGTAATACTAGTATTTTAAAGGTATTTACAAAACACACACGCCACAACACAAAGACCTACTGTGTTCATATCAGAGTACAGTTTTGCTAAAAGTAATCTGGCAGCTGACATAAAGAACATGAAACAGTAAAACTCAGCTTCCATGAGTAGTTGCTTTGTTTCTAAGCAGAGTGACCACTGAGTTATCAAATGAGAAATACAATCATCAAATCATAGGAATACTGGACAGATTCTGTAAAGAAAGACAAGTTAACTGTAGAAGACAGTTTCTTAATAGGGACACTACAATAGTTAAGAACAGAGGGTATTATTTAATATATTTAAAACAAACTGGTCTGCAACTTACTTTGTAATGACTCAGGCATAAAATATAAACGAAGCACATCTGGCTGGACACACTGGCCAAACCTATGACTGATAGACCATTTTTCCAGCTTTTAGAAACTGCTAATGAAAAAAAAAACCCTAACAAGTGAGTTCATGGTGTATTTTTATGTATCTGGCTACATGAACAGGGAGCTCTATGGGAAGACAAAGGGACAGCCTTTACATTTTGTAGCTTCAGAGAGCAGCCTGCCACATACTGTAAAACTGCTCATAGAACAAAGCCAACTATGCGAACAAAAACAGATCTATGACTCAAAATTAAAATGCACGAGGTTTGTTTGAGCAATGCAAAAGTATTTAATACTACAAAAATCCTCTATTTTTACTTTCCTTTCCATAAATAACTTCTCAGAGTTTAACATTTGGACCTTACAAGGAGATACAATTGAAACTAAGTTTCAACTCAACACTTAGAAAACTCCCAAATACCCAAACAGGGCCTTAAAACCACACAGTAAGAACTGCTCAAGCGAGAGCAAACCTGACCATGACGTACGATAGCCATAGATGGACATGCAAAGCACTCTTCAGGCTCACAAGGTCTCACCTGCCCCTGCCCTTTCCATCACCCTACCATGCTCCCCCTTTTTGGACACCGGAGTCTGATCTACATCTTAGCAGGCACTGCCCAATGTTTACATATAGCTCGATAGAAAGCCTCACCATGCTGTTATCTCTTAATAGACCTGCATTTGTTCTACAGCTATGTCCTCTGTGCTTCAAGGTATTATGTCTTCAGAGTCTACTGTATCCAGTACTTAACGTAAGGGCTTTAAAAAGACTGCTGTGTATAGTTTGCATGTTTGAGCACACAAGCCAAGTATGTGTGTGTAGACGTCAGAAATTGGTAAGCAGCATTCCTCAACATTAGTTCATCAGTCTGTGAACAACTGTTTAACCCACTGAGCCATCTCACTGTCCTACAAAGGGCTCTTAAAAACATTACCCAAAATGGCTTCACTTACTCACTCTGCTCTAAACAGGAATCACATGCAACTCTGATGCATAATTCCTTACTGATTATAGATGTTTATTCTACAACCTTTGCCATGCCATATTCTGTTCTGCCTCATGACGTTAACACCATTTCCTTCAACCCAGAACCTCATCTAAAAGATCTTTGGAGTTGCCAGGCAGTAGTGGTGCACACCTTTAATCCCAGGAGGCAGAGGCAGGTGGATCTCTGAGTTTGAGGTCAACCCCAGTCTACAGAGCGACTGGAGTTGAAGTACAGGCTCTAAAGCTACACAGAGAAACCCTGTCTCGAAAAACCAAACCAAAAACAATAACCAAAAGGAACCTTTGGAGTTTTCTCCGAAGTGGTATCAGGAAATTCAGATGTTTTAGTAGAGGTCTGCTACTGAGGAGATGGGGACAATTTAGTGGTTATGCTTTCAGCAAAAGCTGGAAATGAGGGTCCCAATCTGTGTGAAAACCTGGGTATGTCTCAGACAACCCTAGGGAAGTGGACTGGGAGTCCAAAATCACCTCAGCCACATAACAGTTTCAACTGCAGCCCCACCAAAAAAAAAAAACCCTCAAAAACCTGATAAACAAAAACCCAACATCTCTTGTTTATTTGTTTGTGAAGAAGGTACTTGGGAGCAAGGACCAGGAAGTCTTATCAGGCCACTTTGGAGATAAAGAGCACACACACACACTGGTGACTGAACCCATGTGTGCTAGTTAGCCAAGTATTGCACTAATTCAATGAGACCAAGAGCCTTCAACATTTTCTTCCCCCTCTTCCATTTCAAATACACCAAGTTGGAACTTAAAGCTGGTCAGCAAGCTCCTAGGAAGAGCCTGCCTTCCAAATGAGGTCACCAGGACATGCAACTGGCTATGTTTGGCTTTTTAAGATGTAGTGGGGATTTGAACCCTGTTGCTGGGGGGGGGGGGAGAAACCAGTCTGATATGGGGGTTCAAACTTCAAGCTAAAGAACAGAAAAGCAAAGTAGTTGATCACTAGCTCTTACCACTACCTCAGGATAAATAGGCTCCTCTCCTCAGTGTGGCTGGAGAATGAATGCCTGACACTGAGACCTTGCTCCTATCTTGCTTGGTATCTCCCTAATGCTGGGATTAAGGGTGTGTGATCCCAAGAGCTAAGATCATCTTTGTTTGAGCTATTTCTCTTTAGGACTGAATCAATCTTATGTACAACTGGGCAGCCTTGGACTCACAGAGATCTGTCTGCCTCTTAATCCTGGAATCCTAGGACTAAAGGTATGTACCACCACCTCCTAGCTTCTGACTGCTGGGATTAAAGGTGTGTGGCTGACTTTGCTTTCTGAATCCTCAGGCAAGCTTTACTGAATCATAAATAACACAACACCGGAGAACCTTAGGCACTCTTATCTACCTGCTTAGCCTGACACTGAACCTTTTTCGCTTTAGTCTCTTATTTGTGATTATCTTAAAAAGACAGAGGACAATATATCCAGAGAGATTATAGTAAACATTTATAAAAGAACTTTTACAGGGAAAATTAGTTTGTGTTAACTATCATACAGTTAAAAATATTTAATACTTAACTAAATTACCTAAGACAGTGTCTGAGGAAATTGCTCAGTCTGTTTCGTGCATCACATGAAGATCCTCCCGCATTATTACAAAAAAGTACAAATGAAGAAAACAGGCCCCCACACACAAAAATTACACATATATTCACTGATTGTATGCTGGGAAGTACTAGAATGTAAAAAAAACTAAACAAACCATAGGATATAACACAGACACGAAGCTTTGGCCTCGTCATGCTCAGCAGAGTTGGTGGCTATACGCCTTGACCACTGGCTATCAGAAAATGGTTCTCTATTTTTCATCCTCAAGTGCCTGGTTGGGATAATAAGTTACACAATCATGTTAATCACAGAGAACACCGTTTTAAGGGTTGACGGTCACAAACTGACTGGAATAAGGCTGAGAAAAAAAGCTAGCACATGTTAGTTTCAGGAATATGAGGCCACATCACTGCTCTAATCAGCTGTTCAAGCAAAAACTTCTTTAATCTGAAAACACAAAGTTGTGTCTAGCGAGAAGTACTTTTACAGTCACTATGGCTGCATGTGGTATACTTCAGTAGTTGTTAAATGTAAACTTTCTTTTAAAAAAAAGGTAATCATTTTTTTTTCAATACACGCAAACATTAAATCAATGTACTTCCTGTCACTGTGAGCTAATTACTGCTTATTTTACAGTAAAATTCATATAACTCCTGTGCTTAGGACTCTAAAAGTTAACCTTATTCCATTTAGACCACTACACAAAAGTATAATATAGACAATATATTATTAGTCCAAGTATAGACATATATTATTTCCTAGTAAGGATATTTCTACTAATTGCTGACACATGCATTTCCTCGCTATATAAGCACGTTAAGAATTTCTCAGCACGCCTTTAATATGTATGCTGTACACCCAATGATTTCAGAGTGCCACCTTTCTTGGTGACTATTAGTTTAATTTAACATACCCATTTTCTTGTAGTACTCCTCCCAGGCCTTTGTATAGTCCACCTGTCCAGCTGGGGCTGGAGTCTGCTGATCTCCTTGTTAACAAAAACAAAAACAAAACACAGCTAAGTCTCCAAGGCAACTGTTCACTTTTTCTTCTGCACCACGGAGCTGTACACTGGTGTGCACCACTCTGGGGACACCCGACGGCAGGCACAGACAAACTGCTTTGAAGGGATGTATCTGGTGCTCTCAAATGTTAGAAGAGCGCACTGGATCCCCTGGGATTATTTACATGAGTTACCATGTGGGTGCTGGGAACTGAACCTAAGTCTTCTAGAGAAACAAGAAGTACTAAAACTATAAACCTCTTCTTTTGAAAAGGTTTGATCATTGACATTTAAATAACAACAAATATACTCTGGCTTCTAAATTCTACCCTTGGGAGAAGGTGAATGGTCACTGACTGGAGCTCAGAAGACAAAGTCAGGTACTAAGGAATCACCTGAAGAATGTTAGAGGACATCACAGTCACCTCGAAGATAATCCCAGCCACCCAAATCTAGGACAACAGAATGAAAGCAGCTAAAAAAAGAAAGCTATTCCTTGCAGTAAAATAGCAACTAATATACAACGATAGCAACCAACAGTTAACAGTTATAGGAATAGTAGTTTACTAAGACAGAGCTTATTAAAGAGACTAAGGCCGAGGGAGACATAATTCCAGTAAAATGCACCAGAAAGTACTAGGTAATTCCTTATAATAAGCAGTGGTATAATAGTATAAAAACATGGCAAGTAGCAGTACAACCAAGCGATGAAGGTTAGTAAGCTCACAGGACCCAGGCCGACAGTGGAGTACACTCTTTACATATGTTAAAGGAAAGACTGAGAGGGCTGGAGATGGCTCAGTGATTAAGAGCACTGACTGCTCTTCTAGAGGACCTGGGTTTAATAACCAGTGTCCACATGGCCGCTCACGACTGTCCTTAATTCCTGTTCCAGGGGATCCAATACCCTCAAAGACATTTATGCAGACAAAACACTAATGTACATAAAATAAAAAATTAAAGAAAAAACTGAGAAACTGATCAGTCTTGATGAGACTTAACAGACCTAATAAATGTTGTATGTTACTAGACAGATTTCGGTGACTCTAAGCAAGGGCTGTGCATCGGTGTATAAATGTTGGGAACCTAACTTATAAAGATCACAATGGTTATATATTCACAACAAGAACATAAATATGTGTAAGGATAATAACTTCATGTCTCCAACTATAGTTTTCAGTTTTAAGTGGTAAGAGGCACTTATCAGAGTAATAGAGTAAATGGGGGACAAGACAGTGACTGTTATGGTATTTTGGACATCATTTTTCCAACTTTTATTAAGGTTTGTTACTATTTCAAAATGACTTAGTGTGTTTACCCAGTCACAACTGTATCTTCAAAATATTAGATCTAGGGATCTAACTTAAGTGACAGTGTTATAGCACAGGGCCCTTGGTTCAATTCCCAGAACTGAAAGTAAATGAAAAAAAAAAAAAAAAGTTGGCATGACACATTAATATACAAATGCAAACATAAGCTTTGGCTTTAAAGTAGGAAATAAAAATTTCAATTACCGTAGTTACCTTGCCCATTGGTTTGGGTTGTAGTTGGTGCCCCTGCAGGGGCTGCAGGCGGGGGCTGTGCCTGCTGTTGGTAATAGTGAGCATAGTAAGCAGCCCACGCTGCCGAATTTGGATCGGTTCCTGCCTTAGCTACAATTTAAAAAAAAAAGGAAAAATTTAATGGTTTACATGTAAATTCACAAATTAGTATCTTTCTAGGGATCCCTGACAGACTGGAAAATTAACAAATAGAAACTTTCAAATATTTCTAGTATTATCATTGCTAACACAATATTTGAGCCTCAGGTTAAGTAATTTCCCAGCTTACAAAGTTAGTGAATGATGGAACCGGGATATGAATGGATGGTCTTTTGGCTTAAAATCCAATGGTTTGTCTCAGCCCAATCCTGTATCTTTGCTTGTCTCTCCCTCCCCAGCAATAAGTTCAGCTGCAAAGAGCAACAGTTCTGTATAGAAGATATCTATAGGCTAATTTGTACAAGAAACAGATTCTGTATCTTACAACCTTGAAATTACTGCTGTAATCCACATTTCTACAATCTTTTAGGATATCCCATGTGATATCTCCCACAAACACATTTTTGACACAGGCTGGTGTTCAATGCCTGACCTTTTCTGCCTCTACCTCTGCAGTGCTGGGATTCATGCTGTGGCCTGTGCTGCCATGAATGATAAGGACCCCAGGCTTACCCTTGTGTAGGTGTGGAAGCGTGTTTGCTCATGTGCACATGCGTGCTTGGAGGCCAGAGTTTGCCTTTGGATGTTCTCCTAAATTGTTTATCTTTTATAATTATATTTTTATTTACTTATTATTAGGTGTTATGTGTGTATACACAAATGTGCAGGTTAGTGTGGAGTCTGGAAGGTGCTGGATCTTGGAAAAGCAGTTCTGAGCTGCTGACACAGTGCAGGGACCTGAGCTTTTACCCTCTGAAAGAGCTGCCTGCAAGTGCTAAGCCTCCTGTCTGACACCCTTGATTTTCCCCTGAACCTAGAGCTCCTTGATTTGGTTTACAACTCCAAGGACCATCTTTAGCACTGTGGTTACTAACAGCAGCGTGCCTTTGAACCCAGCTTTGACTCAGGCAGGGAGGGAACTCGGTCCTCTCACGCTTGTCCCCAGCTCTATTCTATAGATGACTTCCATTCTCTCTCAGCATCTCCCACACTCAAGTCTTAACAGCTAAAGACTCTTCACAAGTCACCGTGACCCCCGCTCATGGTTAGCACCCCTGCACCAAGTTCATCTTCTTAACCCAAACAATTGATTCTTCACTTGTAATCAGCATGTACTGAGAACACTAATCTTTAACACAGTAGCAACCCAATTATTTATTCAGGATCAAGAAAAGTCTTAGAAAGGTCACTCAATTTCACACAACTAGTTATAGGACTATTCTACCTGACTCTGAAGTCTAAACCTTTGACATCTATATATCTCAATTTTCTAACAGTAGTTTCTTGAAGACAAAGACAATATACGTTAATCCTGGGCCATTAACTTGTTGATAAACCTCAGCGCAGACAGTATTTCTGCTAAATGGGTTTCTTATCTACCAAAGGCAATACTGGAAGCCACACTCACTGACCAGATCTTACAGTGACATCACCAGTACTAATCAAAATGTGAAAACAGTGCAGAATATTTTCCTGAGATCTTAAATGTATTCTTATTTGTGCACATCAAGTGCATGTCTGTGCACCATGTAGGTGAAGAGCCTGACCACGGAGCCAGAAAGAGATATTGGATGCCCTGAGATTGGAGATTCTAACTGTTGTGATCAACCACGTGGGTGCCGGGAATTGAACCCAGGTTCTCTGGAAGAGCAGCTAGGGCTCTTAACCACCGAGCCACCTCTTCAGCCTTGTATAGTTTTCTTAACCACAGTAGCTATCCCAAACACCACTCATAGTGCAAATCCACGCAATCAAAGTTACTCATATAAACCCTTTCACTTAAACCTATCCAAACTTTGCTCTTCTATTTAATCACGCCATTCCCAAATGCTTGTTAGAACGAAGGAAAAGAGTCATGTTAACAACGATCTGTAATGTGACAGTATTTGATGCTTCTTCCACACTCTCCCAGTCCACTACTGCTTACCCTGGGAATGCACTCTTCTAACGGCATAAACTCATCGTTCATACTCAGACGCCACCATGACTCAAGTTGTTTCTTTTCCCTTTCCCTAAACTGGCTGTCCTCAAGCTTAAAAGATCCACCTGCCCCTGCCTCCAGGTGCTCGAACTAAAGGCATGCGCCACCGTTGCCTGGCCAAGTGGTTTCTGAATGAGCAGAGTTTGGGTCATTTGGTGACTGAGCAAAGTTCCAATTAAGGAGCCTTACCAGTGATAATTTATATTCATCCTGAGAACTTGGCAGCATTAGTAGACACATTATCTTATAAAAATGAACAATTACGGATAAAGTCACAACACACTAGATAGCAATGTTATCCTCTTTACAAAGCACCCGATTCTAGCTTTCTGTTTTAACCATTTAAAAGCTAATTTTTAGCCAAACTGGGCTATACCTGCACTGTAAGAGAAGCTGAGGGCCACCTTCATCTACACAGGCTGCGACCCTGTCTCAAAAAAGAGACAGCAAAGTCTTTCTTAATAAAGATTGTTACCAGTCTTACATTGCAGTAACAGGCAAACAACACAGACAACATGTTAATTAACAGTGACTCCTACCTGGGTCAGGAGGAGCCTGTTGCTGCCAGTGTGGGTATGCATTTCCCCATCCCTGGGGAGCATATGGGGCTGGAGGACCACTGAAAGGAAAACACAAATACCATTTACCAAAAGCCAGAATCTTAAAGAAAGTTTCATTATTTATGTGTAGGCTTTGCCTGTGCGTGTACTGCACGCATGTGCAACCCATATGCATGCCTGGTATTGGGAGTTATATACCCTGGAACCAGAGTTATGTACAGATAGATGGTTGTGAACCGCCACGTGGTGCTGGGAATGGAATCCAGGTTCCTCTGTAAGAGCATTAACTGCTGAGCTATCTCTCCCGCCCTGAAACCTATGACAATCTTTAGGCAAAGTCCAGAAGCAACTCAATTCAGTACTTACTGGGGAGCTGGGCCAGGTGGTCCTGGATTGTAAGGTGCAGGGTTGTATGGTCCCATTGGAGCTCCAGGCCCTGGAGGCCCAGGAGGCCCATGAGGACCTGGAACCCCGTGAGGCCCGTGGGGTACAGGTGGCCCTAAAGGATTTACTGGGCCCTGCAAACAGAAAAGAACCAAACAATAATAAAGACACACAAAACATACAAAGTATAGTGTAATGACTGAGCAACTCAAAGGCCAAACTACTCTGAAGGAAGTTTAAATGTACCTTCCTCTCTTTATGGCGCAAAAGAGAGAAAGTGTCAGATTACGACATGTAAAATTCATTAAAATAGAGAACTAGCAAATTCCCTTTAGCTTTTACTCCTTTGCAAACAATGCTGTGTCTCACTTTAACAACTCTCCAGCCACAGGAACCCCATTTAAACCAATAATTTAAATATACTGTCCTCATGTTGTACCCATCATAAGTTTCTTAACCGCATACAACACACCAGGGTTATTTTATATAGGCTTATTCATCACAACAGTTTTACCACAGGGACACAGGGTCTCACTATGTTTGTAGCTTTTGCTGACCCTGTACTCATTATGTAGACGTGTGTCTATGGTAGGCCACCCTGCAAAACTTAACAAGAACCATTAGACATAAATGTCCTAAAGCATTTCTTTTTTAAGGTTAAATTAATGCCAACACTTTGCACAAAATGCTTACAGGTTTTAAAAATTATTTTAAGGGCTGGAGAGATGGCTCAGAGGTTGAGAGCACTGGCTGCCCTTCCAAATTCCAAAGGTCCTGAGTTCAATTCCCCGCACCCACATGGTGGCTATCTCCATAGCCCCACAGAATACTTCTTCAGTAAAGCAAGTCTTCTGCATATGAATACGCATGTGCCACACGGTAAATGTAGAGGCAACTTTTGGTAGCTGGTCCTCTTCTGCCAGTGAGGACTCCAGGCCCCACTCAAGTGGTGGCAAGGTCCCTTTACACCTTAGGCCATGCCAGCAGCCCGACAAACACCTAAACCAACGGTAGTTGGTATCAGCTTTCTCACTACTAATGCTTCCCATTAGCTCTCAGCCATGTATGCTTGCTTAGTAAGCACTAAACCAAACTGTTAAACAGAGTAACACATATTGTTTCTCAATGATGTAACAAACCCGATTTAGGTTTATTAGGCTAAGAAAAAGAAAAGATCGGCTGGGGAGGACAGTGGTGTATGTTTCTAAGGCAGGTAGGTCTCTGAATTGAAGGCCAACCTAGTCTACACGGTCTCAAAAAACAAAAAAGAAAAATGAAAAACCAGAATGTGCTTACTCTCATCTTCCTACTTTGGTATCAACTTTTGGTACAGCTTAACTTAACTTGCAAACACCTTCAGTTCATGGATAATTACTACTGTGTACTATAAAGCTCTCTACCTGTTCTCCTATCCTCCCCAGGTGCACACACTCTGTGTCCTCTTTAACTGTCTCATCAAGTCCAATCTGTGCTGCCCATATACGCACCCACAGAATTACTAGTAACCTCAGGAACCCTCCCGTTTTTTCCACTGCTATAAAAAAGCTCAGTCAAACACTATGTGCTTCATTATAAAGCCAGCATGGTCAAGCTGTACCACCAGAAAACTTCACAAAATTGACCATGTATCAAAATCACTCGAATCATCTTTGCTTTTTGTGTAACCCTGTCATTAACTGAGTTCCACCTGCCTGGGATTACAGGTTACAACAGACTGTGGACTCTAGTCTACTGTCACATTATTTCTTAGTAAGGTACATGTATACTCAGTGTTGTCTCCCTGTGACACATGTGTCAGCGTGGGTGCACATGTACTTAAGCAGTCAGGATCAACAGAGGCTCCAGTATAAAGACACTGACTGGTTTCCACTCTGCCGTAAAGTGAACAACAGGAAGCTCATTAACTCTGCTGGGCTAGCTGGCCAAGGAGTGCAGAGAACAGACCTCTAATGATTGGCAGATACCCCACAAGCCAGGAATCCTTCACGAGTGGGAGGTAAGCACCTCCTGAGTGGGATGGGTAGTTGCAATTCCTGTGACTAGCCAGGCTCTTCAACTACTGCCCCATCAACACTATCTCTCACCTATGGACACTCACATGTGAGGTGGCTCCTCACAGACTTGTCACTTAGGGCTAAGGAGGCTACTTGCATTTCTGGACATCTTTCCTAAATTGTTGCACGCACATGTGCTATACCTCAAAACCTGAAAATTCAGATGAGAAATTGTCCATTTTCCCATGGTACAGTTGAATCAACACTTTTTAAAAAAGTACCAGGAACTATGTCATAATGAGAAGGTTACTCACCCCAATCTTCTCTTCTATGAGTTGCCGAGCATAGTCTATTTGCTGTGGAGTGCCACGAATTGTAAATAACTTCATGTTAGGGTCTGCATTAGGTGGAGGGTTTCTCTGAAGCTCTATTCTTGCGCCAGACTGCTGGCTTATGCTTTTTATAGTTTCACCTCCTACAAAAAAAAAAATAAAAAAATAAAAAATATATATACCCTAATGTAAGCCCACTTTTAAACATATCTTTCTTTACTCAGCTATGTTAAACAATTTAAAATTCATTGCCTTTTCCAATGATCAATCCAGTTTTCCCCGTTGGCACAATGAAGTTAAACTCCTGCAGTCCTCCAGGTGGTCCCATGTTCCAGTTGCCCTGGCCTCGACCTCGTCCTCGACCACCAGGCCCAGGTCCACCAGGGTTCCCAGCCTAAGGGAGGAAAGCAAACACCAAAATGAACAAAACTCTGAAGATTACAAGGTTTATCTCCCAACTTGCAGCTTTCTCAACAATGAAATTAATAGATGATTGAAAAATTACTTGATAGAATTATTTACTTAAGCAGTTAACTTCCATTCATTCAGGGCTTTCTGAGACAGGGTTTCTGTGTGTAGCCCTACCCACCCTTTCCCAGAAGCATGTGTGGCAAGTGTGTAAGAACTCTCCGTGTCTGTCACTACATGCTGCAGAGTGGGCCACACCCCTAGCTGTGGTCACTGTGAATACTCATTTATCTGTAGCTCACTTTGTGAGGAGGCTGTGCAGTCTTCCCTGTCGTTCTGATGTGTTCATACAGCAATTAATTTAAAGCAAGAAATGATTAGCCACTTTAATAAAATAATAATAAACAGATTCTGATAGAGTGTGGAGGGGCACTTTTCAGACATGACAAAAACTTCCAATGAAATTAATTGAAAATGTTGATTTCTCAACAAACCTGAACACTTCGTAGAAGGTCTGTGATAATCTCGGCAGCATGCTGACATCTGTCTGGAGGTCCTGTTATCTGTGCTATCCTATCTGGTGTTGTTCCATCATCTACAAAACAATGCAGCAATGCATTGTGACAAATCAGTTATGAACATCAACATTAACAGCTACCAATTCTTAGAACATTAAATATACCTTACTAACCTGGCTTAAACTGTATTCTAACACCAGCATCATTTTGTATTTTTTTAATCATTTCTCCATTTCTTCCTATTACAATGCCAACAGCAAACCTTGGAATTGGTACCTTAGGCAAGCAAAAGATGAAGCATATTAAAAAAAAGACATTTCTTAAAATCCATCTCCATCAAATCATAAAAATACAGTAAATGATCATGTCAAATAAACAAAAAGATACCCCAGGAGAAATTGGGAAAAGGGACATACAAAGTCAGAGAAGACCACCCTACCGCAGCCAGCACAGATTAGGACACAGTCATTCCTGACTCAGGGCTTACTTACATCTATGCCTTCATTTCCTCCTATCCTTGAGCCATACTCATTCCGAACTTCTCTGAAGCCACCTTGATCCCGAATTAGCTCTAACACCATTTCCTTGGCTTGCTAAAATAGAAAGTTAACAATTTAGAAAAACTCTCAAAGCATCCTAGCGCTTATTTTGTCCGCCTCCTCAGCAGCTGTGTATAAATGACAGAGTGGGGTTTACCTGAACTTTGTACGGGTCACCAGTAATCCTAAGAGGTTTATCAGCACCAGTATTTTGAGGCCCATCTTGGATCATAACCATTTTAACACCAGCCCGTTCCTATTAAAACCATGAAAATAATACAAGTTACAAAAAAAGAAAAAAAAAGAAAAAAAAAAGAAAAAAGTGGCTTTAAAAGATTTAGTAAGTTTTTACAATATAATAGCACCTGAAGTTGTTTAATAGTCTCTCCCCCTTTTCCAATAACGAGTCCTGCCTTGCTGGCTGGAATCATGATTTCCTGAACTGCATTTCCGGGTCCATCACCATGATGAAAGCCGGGGGCTGGTCTTCCCTTTTCAACAATCTGGTCCAGTAATCTTTTTGCTGACCTGTTAACAAATTAGAATTCAAATATTACCCCACCCAAAAATGCAACCCAACAGTCAAGCAGCCCCGTCCCACTCATGCACGTGTCACAGCAGTTGACTCTAAACCAAATAAACACGGCATGTACTCATAGGGACGACGTGTCAAGTAGGAAGGAATGGTCTCAGGCAAATGAACACAAATGAAACCAGTATCTGAATAGAGAAAAGAACCCTGAGGAGAGCTGTTACAGCTCAGCTCTATGTTGCCTTCCTTGGTCATGGTATGTTGCCACAGCAACAGAAGAAACGAGGTGCTGGGCAGTGGTGGCTCACACTTTAGGAGGCAGCTGGGCAGATCCCTGTGAGTTCAAGACCAGTCTACAGGGAGTTCCAGGACAGTCAGGGCTACACCGTGAAAACTACCTCAAAACCCAAAACAAAGACAATGAGCTTTAAAGACTGGTCATCTGTGTGTAAGCCAATTCAGGTGTTAGTAATTTTCTTGTGCTTGTGCAGGCCAAATCACAACCCTTCTTTGCATAATATGTACCTTTTGAGATAGGGCCCTCTCAATAGTTCTGAACCCACCAAGTAGTGTAGGCTGGCAAGCTCAGAATTACCATGTCAAGTTTTCTGGTTTTAGTTATTAGGCTCAAACTTAGTTCTTCCTACAGGAAAGGCAAGCACCTGGATATCTGTTATCACCTCAGTCCCTATTTATAACAATTTTCTGTGTCTTAGGTTTAGATGATGAACCCTACTCAAGACAGGCATGGCACATAAACTTTCAAGGCCACCAGCAGAAGACAATAGCAGAGAAATAATGAAAACACAAACATTAGTGGTGGGGGGAAGTCCTTCTGTGTATATGTTTGTCTTATTGGTTGATGAATAAAGCACTACCTGCCAAAATGGAAGCAAGATAGATGGGACTAGGAGTCAAGGTGTAGTCTAGGAAATGTAGTCAAGAGGAGGGAGGCACCATGTGATCCCAGGAAGAATGGACCCGTGAGGCTGCATCCTCAGTAAGGTAAGACCTTATAGAAATACAGTCTCTGTGTGTTATTTGGGGTTGATGAGGATCTGAGACCAGGCTGGCAGAAGAATGCTCACATTAGTCTTCACATTGCTACTCTGAGTAGACGTAACGTTTTCAAACTTACTGGACAGATTCAGGTGTTCCAGTTAGCATACAAGATCTTTCTGGAAGGCCACCACTATCTACAATCAAAAAGAAAAATGTAAGTCAAGATTAAATTAAATAGTAGCTTTGTCATCTTTAGAAACTTAAAAAACAAAACCTCAAGTTTTCTAGTCACTCTCAAAAAACATCAAGGGCTGGGCAAAAGGGGGCAGGGACAAACAGCAACAAAACACATACACGCACACAAATAATGTTACCAGGAGCTATCTGTATTTTGCATCCAGATTCCTGCTGTATACGTGAGATCTGTTCACCTCCTCTGCCAATTACTAGTTAAGGGAGAGAAAGAGGAAAAGTTATCATTTAATCTAAAATTCTGAGGTATGGTTTATGCTTTGAAAACTGAAAACTTAATGTTACTTACTAAATCCAACCATTCCATCAGGGACTTTGTATTCTTCTGTCATTACAGATCTGCTAAGAAATGACAGACAGAAACTAGTGTTTTCTTCAAAGAAAGATAACGTGTGCTGGCACATGAAGGTAATCTAGTGAAGCCCATCTTAGTGTGCCCTGGGTCTTAGGAGGCGGACACGCAAGTGAACAAGACGGAGAACTGAACACCAGGAAGAGCTCAGAGTGAACGCCACTTCACTCACTCCACAGTCTTCTCAACCATCTCCCCAATTACCAACATCTTACTTAAAAAGAAAATAATGATTCTATATCACCTTTCCAACACGACAGAAATAAACCACACACACAAAATTGTCATGTAGACATTTTCAAATACAAACTAACGTGGTTGGCTGTATACACAATCGACTAAGACTCGCAAAGTAAGCTTTGACTATACCTTTGCTGCTGATGCATCGGAGGTAACTGTGTTCCAAAAGCTAAAAAATAAACAAAAATTCAGAGTTCAAGGTTACTTAACACAAGCACACCAAGTATTCTAAATTCTTTCCCTGGAGAGAATAAAAAATTTCAGACTATTCAAAATCACTGATGTTGGCAAGAAAGCCAAGAAAGGGATAAATATACTAGCAATGGCATACAAAACACATTTCTTTCAAGTGGCACATGCATAGGATTTGTAGTTAAATTATATACATAATTAAATCAATCAAAGTCATATATGCATGGCTACAATTAAATGACAACCATTATTTAAAAAAGGAAAAAAAAAAGGCATTCATATCTACAAAGCAGACTCTAACTAGATCTTAATTTCTACCCTGCTGGGTATAGCAAGGCACACCTTTAATCTTAGCACTAGGGGAGACAGAAGCAGGTCATCTCTGAGGTCAAAGTCAGTTAGGGTCTCATCTGGCTCAAAAACAAAATTTCTAACACCAAACCCCACAACCCCTTGAAAGCAGGGACAACTGGCTGGAGAGTCAGCTCAAATCTAAGAGCACACAATGCTCTTGCTGTTTCCAGCACCACACTTGTGGGTGGCTTGTGACTACACAGCTCAACTTAGAGGGAATTCCGCGCTATCTTCTGGTCACGCACACACAAGTGGGGCACAGACTTTCACATAGATGTGCATGGGTGCACTCATATGTATGTATGCACATACACAATTATATATATATATTTAAAAGTAGCAACAAAACCTCAGCTTAAAATACTTACAGTCATTTTGGGGAGCAACTTTTTTAGCTTCTGGTTGATCTGCAAAATTAAATGTCTTTTATTTTTTTGTCAATTAAAATCAAAGTCCCCCCCACAAGCAAGAATGCCAATGTTTATTAAAATATCTGATATGGTTTTCCATTTGAACCAAAAATATTGCCATAATTCAACCTAGACCCCAAATTCTTAAAAAAAAAAAAAAGAAAATAACAAGAAACCAACCAACCAACCAACCAACCAAAAAACCCTCAAATCTAAATTTCCTTCTCTTCCTGTTTAAGCAATGCACAGATATTTAAAATAGCTTAGAATGGTGAGAGACAAGAGTATTTAGCTTAAATGCTGGCAAATACCATGCTAAAAGCTAATGATGCTTCTTCTACTGTAAGAACTGACAATTGAGGATAACTATATAAAAATCTGACATTATCAAAAGATGAGTGTATCTGAGAGTGATCACAAAGCCTTATCAAGAAGGAAAGCTCATATTACAGTACAGTCTTAATCCAAACTGTTGTTATCCCCAAGTGGAACATTTTACTACATGAGTTTAGCTAAAACCAAAAAACAAAACACACAAACCTCAAAGCAAACTACATGAGTGCCTTCTCACATAAACAAAACGCACACATTAGAGTAGACAGCTTACAGCTCAGAGCATTGTTATTACTTTCCCCAATTCAAGGCTTTTGTGCAGCAAAACTCAGACACATTAACCAAGAGACAGTTGTGTCTACTTAAGAGTCCACTGGTTTGTTTATTTCACGTTTACATACTGAACACAGGTAATAAATAAAAATTCCTGCCTTTAAAAGGAGAGGGCATTCCCTCCCAGTGTGTTGTACTGCTCGGATTTGTCCAAGAGCCATCTACGCATAAAATAAAAAGAATACATTACATACAACATCTGAAGCATCATTAGCTCATTTTTTCTTGCATATTAAAAATCTCACTTGCAAATATAAATGTACTTGAAAAGAAACCAAGTATTTCCACTGAGGGCTACAAATACACTTCTATATGCTCAATCAGAATCCTTTATAAAAAGGGCAAAAGAGCAAAATTTCTACATTCATCAGAACTAAAACAAAAAGCACAAGCATCAATACTTCTTAAAAATAAAAATACTGTAAGTGCACTCTTTTACTCCATGTTTACAGTTAAATCTGAAACACAAAACAAAGCACTAAAATAAAAATGGGAAACTTGCAACAAACCTTAGCCATTAAAGTCAATTTTGAAGTAAATGAAACAGCATAGCAAAATCTCATCCATTGAGAAAAATCAGAAAAGTGTTTCCTATACAATTTATATTTGTTTTTAGCATTAGCAAGAAATCTGTGCAAACTCTAAGCATAATGTTAAAACAGAAAAAAAAACTTTTCTATTACAGTCTATTCTGCTAGACTCAAATTATACCTACCTTTCTTTTTTCTAGGTCTATCTCCCCCCTCCTTCTGAGACTAATATATAGTAGTATTTTAATAAATTATTTTTATAAAATATTTAACCAATTGAATACACCATGGGAGATAACTATAATTATTTCTGGCTGTAACTTACCTCCATCTTCTAAGGGTCTCTTTTGTCCCCCATAACCATAGTCATTTGAATTCAATGATGTACCAGCATCACCCCCAATTTTTGCTGCAATCTTAAAAAAAAAAGAATCATCAGAAAGGTTACTAACTCATGTTTATGTACTACTCAACTCTAAATATCCTACAACACACTGTTCTTTTTTTAAAGTACATTATGATTTACTTGTTAGTATTAATTCAAACTACAAATAAAAAAAAAACAACACAAAAATGAAAATAAAAACTGCTGAAGATACCGATGTGGAACTAACCTAATTATGTCGATTATAAACAGGAAATTGGGGGAGGGTAAGGAGCATATTCAAAGACTTGATTCCATCAAGGCATCTGTTAAGTCAATGTGTATCATAGTCCATATGCCAACTATGTCTCCCAGGTTACTAGATTTTCCTTTTCATCTAGAAACAGAAGACCCTCACAGCCCCCATACAGTCTTTCCTGAAAGTTTCCTAACAGCACCTGGAGACACCTCTTTTCTACCCTCTGGTCTCCAAACACAGCATTTATAAACAGTACCTTAGGGACTTAAGTGCACTGTCTGGTGATGTTAAGTAGGAAGCAGTTAAGCACCAGAGAAGATGGCATACGGAACTAGTTATAAGTTATAAAGGACATTGCCATATTCCATCCCTACAACAGTTTTATAACTATTCAAAAAAGGAAATGAAAGTCGGTGCTTGGTTTGTTCAAAAGAGCTCTTTAAAAACTGGAAACTGACAATGGACACAAGCAAGCAGGTAACTCTCCAAAACCAATCTTAGAAATAAAATCCCGAAGACCAATTCCCAACACAAAAGTATGGTCTCATTCTGTAGCCCAGACTGGACTACCTTGTCCCAACTTCTCACATGCTGGAGTTATGAGCACTGAACTCACAGATATCCGACTATTTCTGTCTCTGCCTTCCAAGCCCTGGGATGGAAAGTATGTGTAACCACTTGTATTTTTCTTCAAACAAACCCAGCACTTAGCACCTTCCTAGATGACCCATCCTTACATTCTAAGTTGAAAGATGATTCTCAGAAAATATTTCCTAAATTTCAGCCCACACTTCCCATAGAAGTGTAAGGGAGGTGCAGTTCTTTTCAGGTGCTTTCTAGAATTGTCTTTGTCCAGTTTTCTCAAGCAGTCTGAGCGTACACGATGGCTGTGAAGGTTGGAGATTATCTGAGCCAACTCAGGATGCCTAGCACAGATCCTAACATGCAGTGTGTCCTCACCAATCCATCAAACAAATTCACAGTTCTAAAGCAGGCTCCACAGCTACACTTCAAAATTGTGTTTTGGGCCAGGCATGGTGGCAGGCGGATCTCTTGTGAGTTCAAGGCCAGCCTGGTACACAGAGCTAGTTCCAGGACAGCAAGGCTATCCAGAGAAACCCTGTCCCACAAATAAAATCGTGTTTTGGAAAATTAACAATGTTTTTATCCATCCCCAAAGACATGAGAAGTGTGCCTTCCCCAGTCATGGTAGTGAAGGCCTTAATTTCAGCGCTCAGGAAGCTGAGGCAAGACTACTCTGGAGGACAAGATAGTAAGGACACCCTTGTATCTCTAGGAGTCAACACATCCCCAGTATACACAGAACAAAATCTTAGCTAGGCATGGGTGGCACACGCCTTTAATCGCAAAGACAGAGAAGCAGGTCTAGTCTATGCAATGAGGTCCAGGGCAGCCCGAGCTAGGTGATGAGACCTTAATCTCCTTACTATTAGACACAGTAAGGATATCTATGTGTTGATTCCGTTGAATACACCATGTACTTTACATGGAGAGACAGACGCTACAACAGACACTTATCACAGCCAATGTGTGCTAGTGACCTAAGCTTATTCATTTGGAGTCTAGCTGTAAGTTCTGTTGTCGTTGACTTCACTCTGTACAGGGGACTGCTGCTTTTCTATGCGGGCCAAATTCTCACTCCCCAGGGCACTGCAGGAAACACCACCCGCCAGGCAGTACCCCAGTCAGTCACGTTTATTTTCTTATTAATCAAGGCATTCGCTATTCCATCCGTTGGTATTTGGTTTCTGAGTTATCTCACACCTTGGAAACCAAGAACACGGAATTTCAGTGTTCCAAAGCCGAGTGTGTGTGTGTGGGGGGGGGCGACCATACCTTGTAAGCACTAGAGAGGCTCAGGAAGGACGCCTTAAATCCCAGGCCAGGTGTGCTTTCAACACCCTGCACCAAAACCATTTCCCCCGAGGTCCAGGTAAAGAGACTCATCTCGGAAGTCTGCCCCCTGTCATTTGACCCAAAGGAGCTACACGACAGGACAACCAACCCCCGCCCCCCAGCTACCCTCTGACCACACACACACCACGACAGCTCACCGAGCCCTCTCCACGGACACACAAGACTACACAGCTCTTTCTTTCCCCAGGATCTACGTGCTAGAGGGCTGGGCGAAAGGAGACGAGCAGATCCCCCCAAACACGTGGTCCGCTGCTGCACCACCCCGGCAGGTCTGGTACAACTTTCTCACTGACTCAAGTGTCTGTCCCGAGGGGTGGGGGTGGGGGGTGAGGAGGAAACGGAACTCCACACAGTCGGCCACCAGTTGTCCCGCGCCGCGTCGCAAAGCCCGCGCGACGCACTTTTCCTTTTGTTCGGAGACGAGGTCTGTCGGGGGCTGCGGCGGTCCGGGCGAGCCTCAGACCCGAGGGGCCACCCCGCACCCCCCGCCAAGCACGCTCGCCCTGCGGGGCACCCGAGCGGGGCGTGGCTCTCATTTTTTGTTTAAAGCTACCGGGGGATGAGGGGGGGGGGAGAGGAGAAGGAAAAATAAAAAGCAGAACACAACAAAAGAGCAGCACACTCTTTTCTATCTGGGCAAGCGGAGCCCTCCGGGTCTGCGTCCCTACGTCACACAAAGAGGCCGCGGGGGGCAGCGCCAGGGCCGTCTGCACCCGGGCGAGCGGCGGCTCGCTCGCGGCCGAGCATCGGGGAGGTGGGGGTGGGGGCAGCAGATCCCGGCCCGGGGCGGAAGCGGAGCCCCCGCGACCACGCCGGGTCGGCGCTGCGCGTGCGAAGCGCGGCCGGGCCCGGAGCTCTGGGCCGGGCAGCCCCCGGGGGAGGGAGGTCGGCGAGCGGAGGCCCCGGGTCCCTAGGCGGCCGGGGACGTCCCGGGCGCGCGCGGCCCACGCTTACCTGCCGCGCTCTCTGCAGGGCGTCTTTGAAGGCGTCGTTCACCCCTCCTCCTGCTCCTCCGCCGCCGCCGCCGCCAGCCGAGCCCGACGAGGGCGGAGGCACTGTCGAGTAGTCGGCCATGCCCGCGCTCCAGCCACCGTCCGCCCGCCCGCGCTCGCTCGCGGAGGCCCCCGCTCCGCTAACCGCTAAGAAAGGGAGAAAATGGCGGCCGCCGAGCCGCTCGCACACTCTTGTGCGACCATCGTGCCGTAAAAGGGGCGGGGACTCCGCGGCCGAGATCTCGCGATGCTCCCGTGCTAACGCGCCGCCTCCGCCCGCCGCCGCCGCCGCCGCCGCGGCCGGGGAAAGAACGAGCGAGCGAACGAGCGGGCGGGCGGGGGCGGAGCCAGGCCTGGGTCGGCGAGGATCGCGAGACTTGGGGTTAAGATCCCGCGAGAGCGGGGCTGCCTTACCTGGGCTCCTCGGAGGGGATTCTTGTCCGCCTCGCTGGGGTGGGGGTGGGGGACCGGCTGGGACGGTGGCCGCGGTGGGCCACCCCTGGGCGAAGGCGGCACCGAGGCCCCTCCGCGGCCTGGGACGGGGGGGTGTCCTCGCCTGGTTTCCGTAGGCGGCGGCGGCGGCGGCTTGACGCCGCCGGGCGTGGACGTCACGCAACAGTGTCCCGCGGGCGAGCGCTGGGCGGGCGCGGGGCGAGCGGGCGCCGAGGAGCGCAGAGCGCGGGTGTCCGCCGAAGCGTCTGCCGCCCCGCGGGAGCCCAGCATCCTCCGGGGTGCTGCGCTGCCGCTGTCGGGGGCGCTCGCTCGTGGGCATGAGCTCGGGCCGCGGGGCCCTTCCGCTGTCGCTGGTGTCCGCCCGCGGTGGCCTGTGTGTCAGATAGAGTGGGCGAGCGGATGGTGAAAACATGACCGCCCGCTGTGCTTTGGAAACGTGAGTGTCGGGAGGCCCGGGCTCGCACACCCGCCGCCGCCGCCGCCGTATCCCCACCCCCCGTGGTCGGCAGGGTCGGGTGCGCGGGGAAACGCGGGTTTCTGGGCTACACGGTTTTGGAGGGGTGCGGTGGGGGTGGGCAGGCAGTCTCTTCGTGCTCGCTTCATGGGGTCACCCTGGGTGAGCGTGCCTCAGACGAGCCTCCTTGATGCAAGCCATGGCTGGGGGTCACCGGGGGGTCCCGTGTGTGGTGACGTGTGCCACAGGGTTCCCCCCACTGTCCCCAGCTCGGCCAAGGATGACATTGAGTTTGGCACCCCCTCCCCAATTCTGCCAAGGGTGACATTGTGTATGATACCCTCCAGTTCAGCCAAGGGTGACATTGTGTATGATACCCCCCAGTTCAGCCAAGGGTGACATTGTGTATGATAACCCCCAGTTCAGCCAAGGGTGACATTGTGTATGATACCCCCCAGTTCAGCCAAGGGTGACATTGTGTATGATACCCCCCAGTTCAGCCAAGGGTGACATTGTGTATGACACCCCGCTCCCCAACTCAGCCAAGGGTGACATTGTGTATGACACCCCTTCCCCAGGCTGTGAAGCTTCTGTAGAATGAGAGAAGCATCCGCTGCCGCCTTCCTGATGACCAGAAGCTAAAGGCCCGCTTGTTCAAGACCCATTACAGAGCGGTTAGCAAGTCACACGCTGGCAGAGGCACCCAGACCGGGGTTTCTTTTAGCCAGCTCCGTCCCAGCCATTTTATAAAAGCTCAGCCCGTACGCGTGTCCGTAGTTAATCTCAGGTAGATTTGGGAAAACAGTGAAGGTATGGGGCGACAGATTTAATCATGCCGGGGTGTAAAACCTCGAAGCCATTGCTGAATAGGAGGATTTCAGCCGCGTTTTTAAGGAAGTTGGCCCCAGCAGATGGCATTTATCCATCAGCAGTTATCTTTTATTTCGTGAATTAGGCTTACGCCAGTCAGATGTTCTGATCAAAATAGTTCTGACTCCAGCTTTAGTTCATATGTGCTATCGTTTAGGTTTCTTTCCCTAAGTATTGAAAGACCTCCATTTCGAATTTTTAAGAGCATCATATACACTGGAAATGTGGGTGTTCTAGAACGGAATACGCCGGAATCCGTGTAGACTGAGATGTCTTAGCCGCGGTGTTGTTGCGATCTTGAGCTGCATGCATGGTTGCATACTGTATGTATACTTTGCTGCTGACGTTTAGCAGCATCGTTGGCCTGTGCTCGCCCTTAATGTGAGCCACATCCCTCCCGTGCACCACAGACTGTGGTAACTGGAAACATCTTCAGACATTGAGCATGACGCCCCGAAAGGCACAATCACTACCCACTGAGAACCGCTGGCTTCCTTGGCCCGTGCCGCCTCTACTGAGCACATTGCCAGTACAGTTAGTCCTAAGGCCCATTACTTTTACCGCTGCTGCTTGCGGCCCTGGGCCCAGGTACCATCACTGTATTCTACACCAAACGGGCGACACTTTAGTTTTGCCCCTTCCTGTTTATTTTTGTGATTCACTTTTTTTTTTAAAGTAAGGAATTTGTGGGGCTGGAAAGATGGCGCCACAGTTAGGGTCACTGGATGCTCTTCCAGAGGACCATATGTTGACTCACAAAGTCAGTAACTTCAGCCCCGGGGAACCAACACCCTCTTCTAACCTCAGCGAGCACCAGGCGCACACATGGTGCAAACACATACAGACAAAACACTTGGACATGTAAAATGAAATAATCTTTAAGCAATTAGGAAAGTTTGGACAGATGTATACAATACGTTAGGGTTCTAAAGTAATGTACCCAGTGTGGAGGAATATCATGCAAGAACTACACTCTGCCTGCCTTCTTGTAGCTCAGGAGCCTCTGGCTCCGGACTGTATTAAACCCACCCATCGTTTCGCGTTTCCTGAAAACAGATCTCACCCGTGTGTCCCAGTGACACTCTTAACCCCATGCAGCTCGTGTCTGCAGCTCCTCCCCCAGCTACTGGTCCATTCACTATCCAAGATCTGGCCTCCGTCTTTCTTTTTGCCTCTGCTGGAGGGTCTGTAGCTCTTGACACCCATGATTTGGCTGCCTGGGATCACTGTGATGGCTCTTGCCACGCCCTTCTTCAGCCACCGACTGACTTATTACCACACTTCACAGCAGGGATCTGTGTTCTTCATGGTCTTGTTTCCCTAGCCTTAGAATGTAAACGAGAGCAACAACTTTGTCCCCAACACTGTCAGTTCCTAGTGCTATGCTGCCGGTCTAGTTATTTGTTGGATAAATAAAGGTTAAAAAAGCACAGTTACATTTGTTTAGTCCTGGGCTATCTGTGTCTCAGATCTCTCATCTACATAGCGGTCGCAGCCTGCTTTACCACCCTCACAAGAGGCGCTTCCGAACTCCTCAGGAACCACGCAGTACAATCAATGGAAGTTGGTACTACAAAATATGCTAACTCGTCTGGTATTCTCAAGATCAGGAAGGGATTCCAGGATTAGAGTACACTTTCAGTAGCTGTGTTCAAACAGTCGTGAAATTCGGGATTCGTGTAGATTGGCTCATCAGGGAAGAGCTCTTGCCACATTAGTCTGAAGAGGAATTCAGATCCCCAGAACCACATAGGAAGTTGGGCATGGTCACTTCACAGGCCCCTAATACCGTCTGTGGGGGTGGCAGAGAGAGACAGGCTCACAAGGGCTTGCTGGCTGCCCAAGCCTAGCCCTGGATGCTTGTCTCAGGAGGGCGAGGCAGAGTGGTGGAGCACAGTGCCAGACACCCTTTTCTGACTCTGCACGTGTGCGTTTATACACGTGTGCATGTATGCACAAGCTCAAGTGAGGAAAAGTAAATGCAACTTTGGGACAGGGTGGAGAGCAGCACTCTAACCCGTGTCTGGGACTGGAGGTCACTCAATGTAGTGGAAAACAATCTGGTCTTGGCCCCACCATAATGCATCTAGATTCAATAAGCCCTTTCATATACAGAGAAGTTGATTGTTTCCCGTTTGAGACATGGTCTCACTGTGTTAGCTAGCTCTGGCTAGTCTGGAACTCAGTATGTAGACCAGGCTAGCCTGAACTCTGAACTCGGGATGCTTCAGTTCCCTGCCCCTTTAGTTGTGATCTGCTTTTGGGGGGAAGCTGCCTAACTCATGAACCACTATCTGCCTAAATAAATTGAAACTTCAAAGTGCCAAAGAGCTTTTCTTGTTACCACATAGATCAAAAGCAGGGTCTCCTCTGCAAGCAGACACTCTTAATCACTGAGCTATATCCTGATAAGGTGCCAAAGTTTATAGTCTATCAGAACTCTTACCAGCTTTGTAATTTAAGGCACATTATTAGTTTTTTTCTTTTGCAGAAATATTTTAATGTAATCATAGTACAATTATAAAGTCACATTCCTAATACATTGAGTATGTTCAAAATGCTAATAAAATATATATCTTTTTGACATTTTCATATGTGTATCTTGATTATATTGCTTGTTATACATAGTCGACATCTAATATTTGAACATTTGGTTCTTAAAGATGAGTTCTGGCTGTACTGCTTAAGGAGGCAGCATATAAATTAAGATTTTTTTATCTGAACTTAAGAATATATCTTCTTTTAAAAATGCCATAATGTTCTTAGAAAGAACAGAGAAAATTTTGAAATGCTTATAAAGCTTTGATTTTTAAAAAAGGCCTACCGTCCCAAAGGTTCATGCCTTACTATTTAGGTAACTGGACTCATATGAATGTATAGAACTGAAACCGCCTTGCTTTTGTAGTCAGGACCTCTATTTTTATAACATCCCCTCTTGGAAATAGGTTAAGAGGAAACTGAAGATCTCAACCAGAGAAACTCTTGAGTAGAGATGGGTGGGTGTGAGAGTTAAGGCTCACTTGGGATAATAGTTTTGTTTTTAGTAGAATTCTGTTTCTCTGATGACATTTTCATTTTTGTTTCTAGCTGTGATCATTCTGGAGTTTGCCTTCTGATTCCCTTATGCTTTTATGTTGTTTTATGTTAATAGATGATCCCATTTCATTTTGAAAGTGTTTTAAAGAGACATGTACTTGAGAGGAAAATGGAATTAAGCTTTTCACACAAAGCATCTGAAATTAACTGTTTTCCTGTGATTTATCAGTCATTTCTTACACCATTTTGTCTAGTTGTAGCAACTAAGGGTATAAATACTTCCCTTCAGAATGCAACGGTAGTCTTTGTTTTATTTATTTATTTTTCTTTTTAATATGGGAGCTTGAATTTGAGATTGCAGGATTAACATCTAGTAGGTGTTCAGTAATTCTTTTAATTTAT